TTTTTGTGCTCACCCCGTTGTTTTCTATGTTTTTGCAAGAAATAGGTGAGGATGTGGTTGAAAGATGGATGCATGGAGAATCAAGCATATCATACTATAACAAGTATAGTCATAGTTAAAAAAAAAAGTCAATCAAATTGAAATAAGTAAGGTAGAACATGTTACCTTAAGCCCTTAGCAACCTTGAAGACTCTTAATTTCAAGAGAAATTAAGCAAAAGAGTATCCACACCAAGGGAAGAAGAAATTTGGCCAAGAGAGAGATTTAGGGTTCTTAGAGATTTTTTTTTTCTCTACACAAAAATTGATATATCCTTTTCTTTATATAGGAATCCTTGTAAACAATTCAATAATTGTTTTGGACTTCCTTAAACAATTCCATAATTGTTATGAAGTTGTTAAACATCTTTAAATTATAACATTAGATTAACATTTAATCACAATTAACAATTTAACTCACAATTTAACCCTTAATTGTTTACATAACAATTTAACCCTTAATTGTTTACAATTACAACTCCTTATAAAATCCAATTTAATATAAAGAAAATGATTAATATAATAACTTTATTATCCTTGGTAGGTGCTAGCCAACCTTGGATAATCAACTCTCTTTGGCTATTTCTCCATTCTCCTTAGTTTTTATGTGTGTCCTCTTCGGTTCACTGTGGCCTAGCCGTGGGCCCAATATCACAGTTTATTTCGATATGTTTTGTCATAACTCTTTATGAACAAAACTCCTACTGATCATGACAGGCATCTAGCAATGCTCTATAACCCTTAAGTCACAATGAAGATATACTCTAACAAACCTTTTATAATCACACACATTGTATAATCAAATCCTTCTATTGTCTAATCCCAATTAAGAATGGATTCATGGTATGTCAAAATCCTTATCTTAATTTTAATACAATACATATGGAACGTGTCACCATGAAACAACCTTTCATGTAATATTTTATATACCCCGGCCAGAGATTTCCCTTTTCCAATGTATCTTGACATTTGTCTAGGAACTTGATATCAATCTATACCAAGTCAACGGATCTCATCTTGACTATCACTTGTCCTCACACATAAACAACACATGGCCAAATTGGCATATTAACAAATGACATGATTAGCCTTGTGTTTATACACCATATGAACCATATGCGTTTATGTAGAATCCAACCGTAATATCTTAGGTCTAAGGATTAATAATACACTAGTACGATCTTATGATAAATCATTGACTACCTTTTCAATGTCCATGTGATTCATCATAAATAGTCATATTCGATAGATAGTTTACTAACCGCGTATCCATGCTAATGCCCTAGTGATATAACTTTTATAATCACCCACACTAATACCATCACATGATATTCTACGGAGGCATTCAACATGCCTACTATGTAATATTATGGCCCACTTAATATTACCTATGTAGGAAATACTTTGATGATTTTGATCTTCTAAAATTTGTATCATCCGAACATTTCACATGTAATACATATATATAAATGAAGCAATAAACCATATGTGAAATAAGAACACTTTCTTCTATTGTCTTATCAAATGTATATACAAAATATATACATTAACATATATATACAAAACATAATGCCTTGGAATTGACGACACGATTGGCTCCTAGGGCATACACTAACAGCGGTCGGATGGATGTCGGCAAGTGGAGAGAAATGGCTACACTATCTACCATTTTGATAGTTTTTGTACACGTTATTTTATACTATGTAAAGAATGTATATATTAAGTAAAGAAAAATTTGGGCCCAACTACTTTCTCTTAATCCTGTATGTATTTTTATTAAGTATATTTTATGTGCATATTTGTAGAAAGAAGTCATTACATGGTGAACCTCTTCTATGAAGGGGGAACTCATTATTTCTTCTGCCACACCGTTTTGGCGAGCCCTTAGATCGTCAAGCATTTTCTGCACACGATTCAAGTCTTCATTGTGATTGTCTTAGCTAGCTCTGTTCAACCTTACCTCGAGCAAGTGAGTTCAAAAATCTGTCACTTGTGAACCCTCTCCATTATGCGCATTGATGCACAAGGTTGAGTCATGATGGCTCGGTTGATAAGTGATATCATGCTGGTCAGTGCGTTACTCACGACGTCGGTTATAATCGGAACGTCGGTCATTGCCAAATTGACGCATAGTACTCGTCTAGCGAGCTTGTGAGGATCAGGCTTATCTTGGGCGTGGGTTAAGACCGACACGCTAACGATTCCGTCGGGTAGGTTGAGCGTCTCATAGGTGACCATTACCTTCGTTTTCAACCATTAGTTGTTTCTCTGGCCACCTCCAAGGGTTGGTTTGCTCGCGTGACTCACACTCGTGAGCGGAGTGCACCCTTTGACATTGGGGGTGTCGGTCGCCCTTGGCACCAATGAGCCAGACTGGTCCCCGGCTGAAGTCCGACCCATCGGGTTAGGATCAGTGAAGCGCGACTGGTCAAGGTTCTAGATGGTTGGTTGTTGATTTCTCAGCTTAGCCATGTTCTGTTGCACCGCCTGTGCAACCATGGTTTTAATCATCTCCACCAGCTAGCTGTTTTCGGGGTTGGACATTCCTATCCCTGGTCATTTGTGGCATGCTGAGATGGTAGCAATGGTGGTCGACGCCCAATGATGTCCTGTTGCACCTCCTGATGGGTGGTCTCCTCATCGTCATGGTTTTCGGTGGTGGTTTTTGATCTTGTATGCACCATCATGGGCCTGAAGTGGTTAGATCGCTGTGATTGTTTGCTGGAATTTATGAGATGTTGGCGGAGACCCTCCTTTTAGCGCCAAAATGTTGATACAGAAATCTACACCAACTAGAGTGATCCGATTGACCTTGGCGGGATTGGAACTAGTGTGTGCGTGATTACGAATAACCAACAATAAATGAATAACGAATGTAGTAAAGTAAATGGCAAAAACGATTTTAAAGTGGTTCGGCGAGATAAACTCTTGAGCATACGTCCACTGTTCTTTTTATTTGCTGTGAGAGCATACAATAGTGATTCTAGGAATTTTTTCCAACCCTCTTCCCCACCGTTTGAGGGGGTTTATATACAGAATTTGTACAAAGGAAATAACGAAAATAAAGGAATTACAATTAAATTGAAATGCAACTCTGATATTTTCGTGATTGGGTGCTGTGATTGCGCAAAGATTGATGTCAATTTGATCATTCTTGAGATATCTGGGATCTAAAGTTATCTGGGAATTGGTTGAAAGATCACTAAGATTGTTCACGACTAGCTTGTGCTGGGTCGAGCTATATCTCTATGAACTTATGCTGGATCGGACAATCAGTTGAGTCGAGCTGGTTTTGGATCGAACTATATCCTCGCGATGCTTTGAGCTTGGTGGAAAAATCACACACAACATTATGTTTATCTATTCTATCTGTCTGCCTCAACTTTGGAAGTGATCCATGAAAGGGCATTGTGAAGACATTAGTTACTCTCTTGAAAACCAGTTTTGTTCAGTAAACCTATCGAGATTCAGAATGATAAAGAATGAAGAGAAACTACTTTATGACCAAAAAAAAAAAAAAAAACAATGTTTGAATTTCTTTAAGCCACTTACAAATTATTAATTAAATTGGGTTTTGAAAATGATAGATAGTGAACAAACCTTTCTATTTCATTTGAATTTTTGAATCGGAATTTAATTTGTTTAATTTGAAGATTTTTTGTTGATTGAATTTGGACTTTGAAGATTTAATTATTTGTTCATCAAGATGTAATTGTCAATTTGTGATGGTTAATGATGTGATAAATTCTTTTCTTGGATTTAATTTGAAGAATCTTGAAACACAACTTCATTATAAGACATGAATATTTGGTGAAAGCTTAATTTTAAAATTGGAGTTCAAAGAACAATAAGTTCAATAGAATAATCAATTTTGAATGCTTTTAGTTTTTCGTCTTGAATCGAAGGCGTTGGAACATTAAGACACTTTTTTTTTTTTAAATATGTTTTGTCACTCATTGCAAGGCTGAACTTGGCTAGTCAATTGATTTTGTGAATCATTTCTAGTATTTCTGGAAATTATACAGAGTTTAAGAATTAGAAATTTGAAGTTTACTACAAGCTGGCCAATTATTAAGGGAGACAATTATTTTGTAAACAATGTCGTTAACGTGTCAACGTTATAAAATCAAACACCCATAAGCAACAAGCGTAAAGCATACAAGGAGATACATGATTAAACTAAAAAAATTTTTAGACTAAATCCATAAGACCTAGTCCAAATCGAAGCTAATCTAATATAACAAAAACCATTACAAAAACAACCCAGAGTGAATTTAGATACACAAAGTAAAACATCTTGTTCTACAATACACTAAACAATCTCATCTCCACCATACAAACCTCTCTCCAATTAGGAGCCTTGGACACTCTATTAGAAAAGTGACACTAGTAAAGAACAAATCAAAGCACATATCATACATAAAAATAAACTTGATGCTTGCACATCAGAGAATAGTGTCCACATACTATAATCAATATCAATCAATCAAAAACAGGAATATGCGAAAAACATTATTCAGTCAACACAGTTTTTACCAGTAGTTTTCACCGTTGAAGTTAAGTTTATCTGCATTTTTATTGGATTTTTTTTGTTGGCTTTGGTTTCCTCTACTGAGGACATGTGGTATTGTTGTTTAATTGGCCATTAATCGTTGGGGAACTCTATGATCAGTATTAAAACATAAGAAAAACTGAAAAACGTAAGAGTAAAATATACAACATACTGTTTTAGTATATCAGGGGTTCCATTTCGAAGACAAAATTTGAAAGAACTATATAAAATCTATAATTGATGGGTGCTGTAATTTATAGTAACTATACCGTATACATGAACCTCTAGCTACGCATTCAATTCTTGATGAGCTATGAGCAACCTCCTCTAACTTATACAAAAAGCTTCATCTATGTTTGTCCCACACAGTTACAAGTTTGCCTCTTAAACTATTGTTTGCTTTTAAATAGGGTGCTGCATTTCAGGTATAAGGAAACCTGTGTTGCAAACTGCTCTGTGCAATTCAGATGAAAGCTCATTGAACAAAAATGTAAGGCTTCAAATACTCAGATGGATTGCAGTTTCCAGTGTCAGTTCTTCTAAGAGACTTTCTACCATTTCATTAACTGTTTCTTCGGCCTCAATTCGGATATTAATCCATGTTCCAGGTCTTGCCAAGTCCTTTTCAACAAGTTGATCCAATGTTGGAGTCGACTGCTGCGCGAGAAGGTTCCAGTCAACACATTTCATCACCTCATAAACCATATTTTTTGCTGGTCGGATTTGTTTGGCAAATGATAGCCATGGGGAGCAACTGAAATAACTCAGGCATAACTCTCCAAGGACTTCATTAATATAGTCGCAGAGGAGCATATGATCCACACAAAATTCATTAGGCAATAACTCCACTTCATCAAACAAGGACGGATCAAGAAGTTGGTCTGATGAATGGCTCTTTATTGAAAGTTCATCCCAATTTATACCAGCAGCTTCCAACACTGCCCTCATATACTTGCACATGGGTTCATGCTCATTTATCACATTACTTGAGTTTATCTTCAAATCCACAGGAGACATCATGACAGCAGCAGAACATTGTTCTTCGTAATTAATTTGTTTTGGCTCGACTGCTAGCTCAGCTGCATTTGTTCAATTGGGTAAACTTAGCTGCATAGTTGGATGACAAAAAAAATGCTAAAGTAAAGATTTCTGACCTGAAAACCTACCAGGCTGAGATATGGTGCTTGGAGAGCTGATATCTTCAACAAATTTCTCGAGAACAGATACCGGACTTTGATGCTCTGCTTTATCTTTCGTGGCAGCAGAATTTTCTAAACTCTTACTGCTCAAGGGACTTGAAGTATAAACGTCTTCTGGAGACACTGATGTACAACTTTCCTCTGGTGAATCCTGAGAAATTCCAAAATTGTTGGCAAGAAATGATGTAGCCAAGCATGTTTGAGAGAAGAAGTAAAACAAAAGGCAATAAAAAGAGGTGATGGATAGGTGCACTCCTAATAACCTGATTAAAAAATCAAAATCAAAAAATCAAAATATACCAATTTTGCGCACTCCAGACTGTTTTCTTCAACTGTGTTGGCTAAAACAGCATTCTGATCTGCACCAGCATGATTTGGCACATTTGGTTCTAAGGCTCCCAAAGAACTAACTTTTCTTGCTTTTATAGTATTATATGTTTCTACAACCTTCATAGAACCTGCAAAATTTGATGAACTTCTTAGGCAAGATAACGTACTTGAACACAATAAATATTACAATATTAATGAAAATTTACCGATAGCACTCGAAGTGTAGTCTGCAGAAGATACACATTCATGCAATTTGATATCAGAATGATGATTCTGAGAGATATTAGACTTTGTATCAAAGGTTTGTGATTGGTTGGTAAGTCTCTTGCCATCAGTCCATGATGGAACCTCTGCAATCTGCCTGAGTGAACTTAAGTGGCTGTTTTTATTTCCTCCCTGAAGCATCTTTCTCTTCTGACTGACCATTTGATGATTGCTAAAAGGAGAGAATCTCATTCGTGCAGCAATGGAGCCATGTTCTTGATGTCTTCCAGGACTCAGTGCAGAGAAGAAGTGGTACTCAGGGAAAGAAATAATCCTGTCCAGGGTTCTTGAAAACTGTTTTCTTAAAAGAATCTCATTTCTATTCCTTAAGACCTCAGGGAGATGTTGCCTAGACTCCATATACATATTCAATTCGCTTTGTTTAGGATGCCTGACAATGGACAATTTCGAGTTTTCATGGCTAGTTCCACTTTTTAAGGCATTTTTTTGTCTAGTACCTGAGTCAAAATCTTTCACCTTGCCCACTTTGTCTCCCGTCTTGTTGTCAATGGAACCAAGACAGATTTTACAGGGTGAGTTGCTTCCTGTAACCCCCAAATCATTTTCTTTATTGCCATCTCCCAAACCCTGATTGTCCCTCGAAGATTTATGTAGTGTAACTGTTGACAACAAGGGCTTCCCTTTTCTGCTTAACCCAATAGCATGTCTCAACTTCCTTTTCATATGCTCAAAGGAAAAATATGCAGGTTTACCACTCTGTGCTCTATCTCTCAAGCTATAAAGGGACTGTGGAGAAGAGAAATCTCCGGTCTCACCTGCACTGTTTTGCATGTATGTTGAGCCAGAGCTGCCAGACTTCGGAAGTAAAATTCTGTTTGAAGGTTGAGGATCAACACTTCCCTTGGATGGGAATCTATCACAAGTTTCTGACAATTTAGTCTCCTGATTTTTCGCCTGGGAATCACGCAAATCTTGGATATGTTTCACTAACAGAGAATTTGGATCATGTAGCAGCTTCATGAATAATTCCTTATTGGAATTTAATATTTCTAATGCATCCAAGAAATGTTTAGATTGGTTGCTCGCCTGATCTCTGCCATGGTATTTTCCTTTAACGATCTTCTGATTTATAAATGCTTCAGCCGCCTCACTCATCTGAACTTGCAAATTGATCTCACTAAGCTGGCCATTCTCCTGAGAATTGACTCTTCTATAGAAAACTTTTCCACTTTTAGGATGCCCCTCATTGCAGGATGTTTCAATCGATGCTGCTCCATTAAACCTTTTCGAAGGCATGCCCACCAAATTTTCATTAGAAGGTTGTGTATGTACCACAGTTGATACGTCCTTGCAACCATGTCTCTTAAAAGTCTTGTTTGCCTTTCTTCTATGGTTCTTTGCTAAGCCATTTTCTCTACTTGTAGTAATCTTCTCTTCTTCCCTTATTATATCTGCCTTAGCATAATCGTTTGTCAGAATTGTTTTCAGAATTAAATCCGTAGCAATTTATGAGAGCAACATTTGCATAACAAAATTCAGTTACAAGTTCCACCCATAAGAAAAAACACGGTATAACTCCTCTATCAAGAACAAAAGCAAGAGATCATCTTATCATTCTCAAATTGTATTGATGAATTCTTACCTGCAACATTTGAATTGGGTCGTCCTCGATTAGAAATCAGCTTCTTGTTGGAATGACCTTGGCTAAAGTCACATAAACCAATCAAACACCATGCGCAGCCAGATTTGTATTTCTCATAGATCACGGGGCTCTTAGGCGAAAGCTTCTCCATGCTTACAGCATCAAACCTGGAAATGGTCATCAAACCACGCGTCAAACCTAAATTTGCAGTCCTTCTCCAGTGAGGCAGTGCCAAAATCAGAATAGACACTGTTTGGGAGACGGAGAAAATGGATTAATTAGGTAAATACTTAATTCATAGTATGAAAACCACTACTTTTAGAAAGTAGAGCTGAATCATGTATCCAAAATTCCATAAACCAAACATCATTAACAAACTATAACACAGATAGAGAGAAACAAATTCCCTAAAATAGATCTTAAAATGATGTAAAACGAAAACCAAAAAAAAAAAAACAGCATTGGCTTCACAAATATTTTAAAGATAACATTTATTGAGAGAAAGAAAGCAGAAAAGGAAGAAACCTTTTAACTTGAGCTGGGTTCATGATCTCCAGAAGACAAAGCCGAAAACTAAAGCAGTAGTCTTTGTCCCCTCTCCTCCCCACATAATAAATTTCAGATGCCCACTTCTCTTGTCTTGTTTTCTCTCTAAAACTTTGCCATTAAAGGGAAACCAAGCAAGAAAGTGAGAAGGAAATGAAGGGCATAAGAAAAGAAAGAACATGAATGGGGAGTTATTATGGGACATCGACACAGTTATGGCCACAAACCAAACCAAACTTTCAAATGAAGTAAACTTTTGTCTTATTTCCTTCATTTTTGATTTTCCCTCTCTCTTTCTTACTCTATCACAGTTACTACTACTAGCCTGGTAAGCTGTTGTTGGTTTAACGATGTTCCAGTCAAAATCTTGAAACACTGTCGTTTTTGTGATGTCTGTTGCGATTTTGTAGAAACGTTGCTGTCCTGTAGGATTCACAACATTAATATTTTTGTCGAACTTTGCCATAAAATTAGCCCGTGCCTCTCTGTCGTTTTACATTGGGTTAAATTTTCAAATTGGCCAATTCGGTGTCGTATTGTCGTTTTAATTTTTTGAAACTTTTAATTGTCAGAACCCATTTTCACATCACAGTTTGAATAATCAGTTCAAGTAGAATTATCTGTAATAATCCTATATATATATAACCGAGGTGTCTGGATCACTTTGTGTACACCTCAATTGATCTCTGGAGGTAAGTCACAAATATGATAGGTTTACAAGACCTAAGTAAGTCACAAAAACATGGTAATTAACCACTTGTATGATTATAACACAAGACCTCTGAATAACATATATATATATATATATATATATATATATATATATATATATATATATACCGGATATTCATATCAGTTTATGTGTATCTCAACTGATTTTCGGAGATAAGTCATAAATGTGTTAGGTTCATAAGACCTAGGTAAATCGCAAAAACATGGTTGGTGACTACTTTGTGAAATTAGAATACAAAACTTCTGAGTAAACAACTCAAATGGCTAAAGTCTTCCTGCTCTGCCATAAAACATGTGATTAAAATAAAATATTTTTGTGGATATTATTTATTTATTTAGGTTACGCATGATTCACGAAAGAAGATTGACAGCAAATTAATGGGAAATCACGGGGGTTAATGGTCTAAATATTTAAATAATGTCCTTCTCAATCTCCTCACACATAAATTATATTGTGACATAAATATAATAATAAGGGGCGGCCAAAATAGATTGATAAATGTTGAAAATTGTGTTTTGACCTTTGATGTGTTTATTTATTTTCTTAATTTTTGTGGGTGTAATTTGTGAACTTAAATATGATACTTATTTAGCCACGCATTACCATGTGGACTTGGTTGATAAAGCTAAAGAAATTGAATGCCATTTAAGGTCATTAATTGGTTACAAAATTTATCGGATTGGGGCTATTACACAAATTGTTGGTATTTTCAACATGTCAATCGGTGATGTACTTCCAATTAATGTGATTTTGTTAATTATCGTCATTGAAATTCATAGACCACATTTAGTGGTTGAAATAGCTTTCTCAACCAATTTTGGATGACTAAATGGTTTGATATAGACTTTTGGGTGTATTACTCAAAAGCTTCTAAGTTCGAGTCTATTCTCAATTGCTAATAGGTGTAACTATTAGAATTCTTACTTGACTGATAGTTTCAAGGTCGAGATTAATTGAGATACGCGTAAGCTGACTGTAGATGCAAAAACTCTATCGCTACAGAAATATGGTCTGATCCCTTGAGGTTGAGGCCACCAATAATCTACTATACCTGCACACGCAAGAAAACAAGCGTGAAGCGAATGGAAGACACCAGAGTGGTGTTTGTCGTAGGCATTTTGACTCTCAAGTCAGCAAGGCCGAATGAGGCTAATTTAGTGAAGGTTAGGGAAAGAGAAGGTTACCAGAAGTCTAATCGGAGACTACAACTACGACTATGATGCGAGGTTCTCAAGAGTGAGAACTACGGGGTTAGAAGGTGTAATCTTTTGTGCCAGTGGGAGGGCTAGCCTCTTGTTTAAATAACAGCTGTAGGATCTTCGAGTCATAATAGGACTGTGAGTCCTTAGGAGTTGAGGTTTTATAAAAAATGAGTCTTTGATTCCCTTACCTTAGTGGGAAATGGAGTCCCAACGGGTTTAAGATACGGATCTTAGACAAATTAAGATAGTAATGGATCTCTTCGATAGAGTTCGGATAGTGCCGGAGTAAGTAGGCAACCTTAGGCTCCAAGTAGACCCTAAGTCCAGTAGGCAGTCTAGGATCAAAGGGCCTGGGCCCAGACAAGCTGATGATGAACCTAAACGAATCGGGGCCTTTGCTGATTGGGCCCAAGCGGTGAGCAACAAGGTAGGTGTACTGAGCGGACCTAATATGTAAACTCTATTGCTAGCCAAATTGGAATTGGGTCACGACTCTGAGCTTTGTTGAAGGTGTCTTCGTCTTTGGGCTTATTGAGGCCGATGACATTTTTTGTCCCTAACACTAACCTAATACAAAACTTAGGAAAAAAAAAAAAAAAAAAAAGATGATGAAGACAGAAACTAATAAATAACTCTCCAAATGAAGACATAATGGTAATTGTATTTGTTTTAGGTTCAGAAAAATAAGAAATCTAAAAATTAATTAATATTGTAAAGAAGAAATATTAAGTAATTTTGAAAATTACCATGAGCTTCAATCTATCTATAAAATTATAAATTCTTTTTTACCAAAGTTTCATTTAATTTTTTTATAACCGCAAATGAAAAGTTATGAAATAAAAGTCCAGAGGAAAGAGAACAATTTTTTTTATTATAATTATATTCTCACCTAAAGTAGAAAATAAGATCTAAAAAAAGAAAATGGCAGGGCTAAAAATATTTCCCATTGAAAATAGGACTTAAAACAAAGGGGCCATATTGGACCTAAAATTTGTGCAGTGATGCTGTGCTTAGATGATGGCCCAGAAAATGATAAAGGCATTACCCAGCAGGCTGATAAGCAGGACGAAGCGACGGTCATGATTTTTATCTTTGTAAATAGGCATAGTAAAATAAGAAAATCCTGTCTGGTTAAAGGAGGAGACGAGGACGTCGAGGAGTACACAAAACAGAAAAGAAATAAATGAGGTAAAACATTGAATTTTAACCACTAAGTTCATTGTCAGACGGCAAGATTTTAGCCATATGAGTGGGCTATTAGAGGTCTTACACGATTCATTAAGTTTATAAAGTATTTAATAGATTTTGAGGAATTAGTTAAAATGTGTGTAAACTGATCCGGACACCTTGGTTATATAAAAAAAAAATTTGAATTTTATAATTATGTGAGCAAAAGTTTTAAGATTAAATCCAAGTTTTTTTTTGTTTTGATCAGAGGTGTCTGGATCAACTTGTACGCACTTTAACTAATCCTTCGAGACTCTAAAGTTAACGATCAGGTAAATCCCTTTAATGACCACCCTTATTAGGGTATTTGAAGACTCGAATTCAGAAATTTGGCTGGAATTGGTAGATAATTGGCTTTGTTTGGAATTGATTCAGTCTTGCAGCATGGTTTTGTCTGGAATTGGTTCAACTTTCAGTTGGCTGGAATTGGTTCAGTTTTAGTTGGCTGGAATTGGTTCAGTATTTGTTTTTTGTGACTCTGCTTCAGATTTCAGCTTTGAGACTTTAGCTGAAATTGTTTCATTTTTTAGCAGACATGTTCAGTCTGCAGCTGAAGTTTCAGCTCCTTTTTTTTTTTTTTTTTTTTTGGTAAGACTGAAGTTTCAGCTCTTCTGATCACTTGCAGACTGTACCATTTGAGGAAGTATTGTTTGCAGCTATGATATTAGCAGACACGCTCAGTTTCAACCAGCTGAAGTTTCAGCTCCTCTTTGTAAGACTGAAGTTTCAGCTCTTCTGATCACTTGCTGACTGTACCATTTGAGGAAGTTCTGTTTGCGGGAAGATGTTAGGATTTAGTAGTGGACCTGCTGGACCTGGCTGACTAAGGAAACACAACTCACAGGAAGTTTTGTTTACGGAAGGATGTTAGGATTTAGTTGTTGACCTGGTTTGACTGAGTAGACTAAAATGAGCTAAGCTCACTCAACTCATTTAACAAGCAGAATCTGTTTTACTCTGCTGGTTTACTGCTTGTTTTACTCTGTCCACTGTTCACTTTATATCAGTGATTCCGTGTAAACATCTTATTAATAAAAAAAAAGTAAAGTTCTCAAATTGAACTCTCAAAACTCTATTTAGATATCTTTGTTTTTCTTTTCGTTGAAAACTCTTCTTCCCTAACTCACACAGTTAAACCATGAAGCTAACCGTAGACACACCAGGATGATAAATGCACAAGGACACCCAGTGAAGGAGCCGCCAACAGAAGGTAAATCCTAACCTTGTATGGGCTGAATTTATATTGTGGATTACTATATCGAGTTGTGATCTTGGGTCATGGGGTTGTGCCATGGCAAGAAAAATTTTGTAATTCCACGCTTGCCACAACACAATCCCTACACCATCTATGTGGAATCTTCTAGTGGGTATGTCCAATGAATTTACTTATGGCAAACACCTATGTGTTGTACCAAGTTGTCGACAAACAACCTTGACAAGTGATATCAGTCATTGTCTTTCGACAAGGTCATTCTATATTATGATAGTCTTATCGTATTATCTGTGTCCTTAGTCAGAATAACACCAAGGCTACAGACATTTCTAGAATGACTAGCATATGTGATCATAGGGTCCTTACTATCGAGATTTGAAACACTCGATATTGTTGCCACGGTTTTACCATTCTAAGGACATATATTATAACATATAATTAAATACGAATTATATAATGTAGAGAATGCATTTTATTAATTATAACTATTATTACAAAAGTCAACATTTACAAAATGGATTGACTCTAGGACAGCTACTCTAACAATACATTCATCAACATAAGAGAAGATCCCTAGAAATTTATTCTACCATCGTAAGTTTGGCCAAAGCACCAATTAACCGGGGCAACATTATTGAATTGCACCATCTTCCCATCACTAGTAGTGACTTGGAATGACAAACTTTGCCCTACTAAGGCACTCCCAATCTGCCAATTTTGGCCCCAATTGCGCCTCATTTGCCGCCAACCTGAATTAAACCCCTTGATTTTAACATTGGTAACATCACCAGCACCACCAACATTGTACACTGTAACCAGTGTCCGATATCTGTTTCCTTTGATCTCAAACTTGACTCTTCCTTGTTTGGAACACAAGACTCTGTGGTATCGAACAGGGATGACCCCAACTTTGTAGTTAGCAAGTTTCACAAACATTGCCGTGGATAAATCAAGTGCTTCTGTGGAGGGTTGCACCAAACATCAGTCTTTTTGGTGTAGTTTGGAGGGCAGAAATTGGTGGCTGTAATCTTGATGGTGCCTACATTTGGTATGCACCATTGATGATCATTCACACACATTATCTCAAAACAAGCACCACATCTTAATCCGTGGTTGAAGAGGGTTGGGCTTAGAGCTGCTGTCATAGTTAAAGATATTGAAAGTCCGGTTCAATTGATACCAGATGAGAAGATCTTATTGAATATATAGAGCTTTACACGTTTGAATGAATTTCAAATATACAGAAAGATAAGACTACATGTAACAGAAGGATAAATGCTATCTCTTAGCTGATTCAGATGAGATGCAATCTTCCTCTTCAATTATCTGACTTGGAATAGAATCTATATGGTTAATTGGCCCCTGCAAGCTGATGGTGAGTGGACGAACCATGAGCTTGTCTCGGAGCATGCAAAACCTGGTAGTGGATAAACCTTTGGTGAAGATATCGGATGGCTGTGATGCAGTAGAGATGTATCTTGCAAGTATGTCCTGGTTGAATATTTTCTCGTGTATAAAGTGATAGTCGACCTCTAGATGTTTTGTTATAGCATGGAAGATAGGATTAGAGGACAGGGAGAGTGCACCAATATTATTAACCCATAGGCATGGAGGAGAGTGTAAAGGAAAGCCAAGCTCTCGGAATAGCATGCGGATCCAGTAGAGTTCAGTGACTGTGAGAGCCATGGACTTATATTCCGCTTCAGTGCTTGAGCGGGCAATGACTGGTTGCTTCTTTTCCATCCAAGAAATTAAACAAGGGCCAAGGAATATGCAATATCCAATAGTAGACTTGCAATCATCTGGGCTTCCAGCCCAATCGAAATCATAGAAACCATGTAAAGCAAGAGAACCTTTGCTGAAGTAGAGAACATGTTCAAGAGTGCCTTTTAAGTACCGAAGGACTCTCTTAGCCGTTGTAAGGTGAACAGAAGTTGGATAGTGAAGAAACTGACTAATTGGTTCACACTATAAGCAATGTCTGGTCGGGTTAAAGTGCAATACTGAAGTGCTCCCACAATATGTCTATAGACAGCTGGATCAGATAATGATTCCCCATCGTTCTTGGACATTTTCCCACCTGAGGTGCAAGGTGTAGAAACAGGCTTAGCACCAATCATTTTTGTTTCATGCAAGAGGTCCAAGATGTATTTGCCTTGATGAAATGCATATTATTTGCAGTGCAGCGGACTTGAATGCCAAGAAAGAATGAGAGAGCGCCCAGATTTTTGACTGCAAAGTCTTGGCTGAGGTGCTGAAGGAGATTAGCTACTGCATCAGAAGAGTTACTCACCACCAAAATATTATCAACATAAATTACAATGAGCATAGTAATAGAGGATCGATGTAGATAAAATAAGGAGGTGTCAACATTTGATCCTGTAAAACCAAGCTCTATGAGACTTTGAGAGAGGCGCCTAAACCAAGCACTTGGTGCATGTTTTAGGCCATAAAGGGACTTGTGGAGTCTGTAAACATGGGATGGGAAGTCATTATGTTTAAACCCGTTTGGTTGCTCCATATAGATTTCTTCCTCAAGGTGTCCATGCAAAAATGCATTGGAAATGTCTAGTTGCTGTATGATCTAGCCATGATGAACAGCCAAGGCAAGCACCAATCGAATGGTGGCAGGCTTTATAACTGGACTGAAAGTCTCCTGAAAGTCCACACCATGCTCTTGATCAAACCCTTTGGCTACAAGCCTTGCTTTGTACCTTTCAATGGTGTCATCGACCTTTTGGTTGAGTTTAAACACCCATTTATTTCGAATGATGTGTTTATTAGGAGGTTTAGGACATAAGGTCCAAGTGTTGTTATCAATGAGAGCATTGAACTCAAGTTGCATGGCTGCCTGCCAATTGGGATCCTTGGTAGCTTGTTTGTAGGTTTTTGGTTTAAAGGGAAGTAGAACTGAAGATAGAGCTCGGATTGGGTATCTAGTGGAGCAGTAAAGCTTGTAATCAGGAAATTGTTTTGGCTTGAGGGAGTTGGTGTGAGATCTGGTGATTATTTGTCTCAAGGGGGAGTGACCAAGAACAAGGAATTTTTTGAAAGAATTGGATAGATATTCTCCTCCATTATCGGTTTGAAGTTGCTTGATTTTAGAGAAGAATAGATTTTCAACTAGACACTTAAACTAAAAGAAACACACAGCCACATCCGATTTTTGATTAAGACGAAACAACCAAGAAAACCAAGAATAATCATCAATAAAAACCACATAGTATTTACAGCCACTGAGTGACAATACCGGAGAAGTCCATACATCAGAATGAATTAATTCTAAAGGGTGACTAGAGTGATGATCAGAGAGGGGAAATGGAAGTTCATGGCTTTTAGCCATTTGACAAAATTCACAAATGTGCTTCAATTTTTGTGAGCCTGATATAGAGATAAGAGCATCATGAGTGAGGTGGTTAAGAACTAATTCTGATGGATGACCCAATCGAGCATGCCAAGTGGTAGCAGGGGCTATGACACCTAGGAAAGTTGTAAAGGAAGAATTTGAGGCTGAGTTGTGCTGCCTCTTATTGGAATTGAAAGGTTGAAAATAAACCAGGTAGAGTCCTGCTCTACTCGGACCTTGGAGGAGTATCTTGTTGGTCTGCAGTTCCTTCACAACAAAAGAGGTAGCAGTGAGTACAAAATAGCAATTGTTATCTTGACAAAGCTGTTGAATGGATAAGAGGTTAGATGAAGCTCGAGGACAGCGTAAAACATTTGACAAAAATAGAGAACTATTATTAGTTTTCATACTGGAAGAACCGGTGTGATTGATAAGCAAACCTCCCTCATTGTCAATTGTGACTTCGGTTGGACCTTGATATGGTTGCTGATTCAAGGTGAGATTGTTAAGGGCTGAGGTGACATGTGTTGGCACCACTGTCAAGGAACCAAGGCTGATCTTCCTCTTGAGTAACATGTGTATGAGCAGCCATCACAGCCAATTGTGCAGGTGGATGTCTTCCTTGGTAAGAAAAGTCCATCCGTTGGTAACAGTCCAAAGCTTGATGATTTGTTTTCCCACAAATCTAATAGGGAGGTTTAGAGTGAGAGAAGAAGGTGTTGTTTGAGGTGTGGTGCGTGTTTCCTACAACATGCAATATGTAGCAAGTATACTAATCGCACAAGTAATATAATTATGAGCAGAGATCGTTCCCACGAGGATTGTTAGCTAACTACAAAGTATTATGCTGTTCTCTAGTTGGAGCAATCGAAATCTTTGGATTGATGGGAGCTAATTATAACTAATCTGAACAATAACTATTAAACTAAAATTTAACTAAAGATTGCAAGATAAAATTTCAGAAAAACCAATTCAAGTAAAACAGGTAGGGTTTTGACTTCGTTCGGATTTTATGAGTTAAACCTAAAAATTATACTACATTCACATTCATATGCATTGATTGTAAACCGAACTCACTAAGGTGTTAAACATACCTTCTCAGGCTATGTTTTCCTATTCTTCATTTTTAACCTTCCGCACCCAACAATTTGAAGGTTAACAATTCCAAACTCGTTAAGCATAAGAATCCTATAATGATTTCATTATTTGTTGAATCTATCTCTAGCATCTAATACTATAATGGTGATTACCCGAGAAGCCTAACATGATTCATTTCTCAATCTCATCATGTTCATCACATAAAGCATTAAAAATCAGAGTAAACACACAATCAAAACATAGTCATATGAATATAATGTGATCAATAATTAACCCATTAGAAATCCAAATTACAATCAAAACCCTAACCCAAAATGAGTTAGTTCATAGCTAAATTAACACTACAATTAAGAAAAACGAAAATAATCAAGTTCAACATAATGAAAAGTAAGAGAGAAAATAAGAAATCCCCCCAATTGATGAATCCTTCGGTTCCAAATCAGATCTTCACCCTCTCAAATCCTAAAAATCTCTAAGCTTAATCCAAAAAAAAAAAAAATGAAAAAGTTGCTAACCCTACTTCCTGCACGACCCTGGGCAAAAAGGTTAAGTTTTTCTTTTATACCTCACCCTAAATTTTTGAGAAAAATATGCACAACGTAAAACTGTGCGTTTTACAAAACTGAAAATCACGACTGTCGCCGCGGCGAAGTTTCATCTTCGCCGCGGCGAAGAAAGCCTCAAACTTGTTCTTTTCTGCCGTACTTCGCCGCGGCGAAGGACAAATCTTCGCCGGGGCGAAGCAACTTGAAAGGTTCTGAAATTACCGAACTGCCACTCTGCTTGCTTCTTTGCTTTCTTCTTCGATTCTCGGTGCTCTCCCTTTCAAACAAGCCTCATTGTGCTTTATCCTGCTTCCGAACTCTCTTAACTTCTGAGATCCGCAAACTTCCAATTTTGCCCTTATTTGATCAACATGTCCATTTAACCTGAAACACAAAATGTAAAGAATTAAACAACAATTCAGGTCAAAATGCACCACAAAGTACCTGAAATCTGAATAAAAAGACTCATGAAAACTGTATAATCTACGGATTATCAAGGTGGTTGGTCTTTTTCCTGTTGGTGGAATAGAGAAGTTGGGGTTATTGGGTGGATGGGCAGAGAAGTTTGAGGTGTTTGAGGAGTGTGGTCCAGTAGGTTTGTTGGCAAAAAAAGGCTTTGGTTTGCGATTGCTATAGGGTGGCTTGGATTTATGACTGAAAAAGGCAACATTGTGGGTATTTGGTGGGATAAATTTGTGTGAGGACTCAAGTAGTTGTTCATAATTCAGCAACTTAGTTTAAAAATCATCAAAGGTGATTGATGAGTCTCGGGTTGCAAAATTAAGGTAGGTAATGAATAGGTGATAAGCAGGATTAAGACCACCAACAACATAAGATATCAGGTCCTCATCATCAACAATTTTTCCCACAGTTGCAAGTTGATCAGACCAATTTTTGGCACTAAGGAGATAGTCAGTACACGACTTAGCTCCTTGATTAAGTGTCTGCAATTGCTCTTAAGATAAGAGATTCGAGATCTAGAATTAGGTGCAAACCTGTTTGCTAGAGTGTCCAAACCTGTCGAGAGGTATTTTGCCCATAGACAGTAGATAAGACCTTCTCGGTGAGAGTGGCATTGATCCATGCCAAAATAAATTGGTCCTTTTTCTGCCATACCATATAATCAGTGGTGATGTCAGAGGTAGTTTGGCCTTCAGAATCAGTGGCAAACTTTGGAGGACACGGCTCAGAGCCATCCACAATGCCAAGTAAATCATGGCTTCTTAGGAGTGGAGTGAACTGAGTGGTCCAATTAAGATAATTGGATCCATCTAATTTGACAGAAACTAAGGGAGTGATATTGGGAAAAAGGAAGGTAGCGGAAGCCATTAGGATCGAGAATGGTGTTAGCCAAATGAGGCTCTGATACCAAATTAAAGATATTGAAAGTCTGGTTCAATTGATACCAGATGAGAAGATCTTATTGAATATATAGGGCTTTACACGTTTGAATGAATTTCAAATATACAGAAAGATAAGACTACATGTAACAGAAGGATAAATGCTATCTCTTAGAAAGATAAGACTACATGTAACAGAAGGATAAATGTTATCTCTTAGCTAATTCAGATGAGATGCAATCTTCCTCTTCAGTTATCTGACTCGGAATAGAATCTATATGGTTAACTGTCTTAAGCCCATATCCTTGCTTGAAAAGATCTCCATACCCACAAGCTCCCTCTGTCAATAACACACCATTCAAATTATCAGCCATTTTGCAACTCAAAATGTTATATATCCAGCAATGGAATCAAGAAATTCTATTTAGGGACTATATCTTGTAGGGATCGACCTATGCATTAATGTTAAAGGGACAAATTAAATAATTTAATAAATATAACTTTAGAAAAAGTAAAGTAAGATAATAACTAATTTAATATACAAAATGGAAAAAGTTAGTGAGTTGGACTGAATCTGGAAACATTAACAAGTATAGAACCTCATCAAAACAAAAAACAAAACAAATTAATAAATATTTTTTTTGAGTGGGGTCACCAGCCCCCACTTGTTCCAAACAATAGAAAAACCATATTACTTCTTTTGTTTTGCATCCAAGAATTAACTTTTGTTAGCGAGAATTTAAGTTCAGAAATTTTACTAACTTAAACCCTTTTTAAAATTGATGAAAATGAAAAATAATTAATTTAATTTAATACATTATAAAGGATGATTTATTCAAGGTAACAATAAAATTGAAAACATAAAAAATTGAAAACAATAACTTTCAATGATTGACCTTGGCAACTCTTTCGATTTCATCATTCTTCTTGATGACATAGCTGGAAATATAGGGACATAAAATCATTTTAATGCACCACAAAAGAGAAACATACTAACTTCATTAGATCACTCAAGCGAACTGCTTGTCAGATCTGCATATAAAAAAAGATTGCTTAAGCGACCTTATGTCGCTTAAGCGAATTGGTGGTCACTAGATCTGATCTGAGCAGCAAATCACTTAAGCGACCTAAGATCGCTTAAACGATCTGCTGTTTAGATCTGCAGATAACAGCCGATCGCTTAAGCGATCTTATGTCGCTTAAGCGATCTTATGTCGCTTAAGCGATCTGATCTTATCTGTAAATTGCTTGCTTTCTTGCTACTGATCAATTCAACCTAATTTTCTGGATCTACATGTGATCGATTTTGGCAACTGCTTCTCTTGTGGCCAGGTTGCTTGCAAATTAAGCACTTATTCATCCTCTGAGGAACCTCACAGGCTGATGGAATACGCTTAACTCTTTTCTCCACTTTTTTGTCTTTTTGAATGGCGGATGAATGATAATGTGAACCAACTGTGGCGACACCACCCACTGCTCTTCTGGAGGAACTTGATATATCGTTTCCGAATAAGCCAACATATAGTGATTTGTTGTATAGAGAGGGAAGCAAAGTTCCATGTAAATTCTTGAACCAAAATCTGGCTTCCGTTGGTGTTTCAATGTTTCTAGTGTATGAGGACAAGGTAAACGTTGAATGTCAAGCACTTTACAGCTGTAAGCTTTACTAAGAAGGTTAATTAGGACATCCGGATCATAGTCACACACGGTGAACTCTTGAGCATTAAGAGGATAGACAAATAGTGCATTTGACAGTTTCATACGTTCTCGCAATAATTTTTCAACTGACAGAACAAGGGTTGTGATAAAATTATTTGATTATGTACGACGCTTATGAAACCACCGTGACAATGTCATCTGGATTGCATCAAAAATAGCAACTATTGGAAACTCTCTTTCTATTAACAACTTCGAATTTATGGATTCGACTATGTTCGTGCTCATGAAATCAAATATTCTTCCAGGAAAATAAGTTATACTCTATCACTCGAAACCAATATCATGCTCAAGCTACTTAGCAATTCTATCATCACAAACGAATTCTACTTTCTAATATTTTTTTAATTAATTAATTATTTTTTAATTAAATTAATATTTTTTTATAGAATTATTTGTTTGGTAATACTATATATAGACTTAATTATGTGCACACAATTATCTCTGGAGTCTTAACTGATTTAGATTTTATCCAATAGTTACTGCCACATCATTGCTCAAACAATTAATCATCTTGGATTAGTACAAGAAACACTAATTAAGGAAATAATTTATATTGTCAACTAGAAAAATAAACCAAATAGCTTTAAATAATTAAAACAAATACCCCTAACCTCTCTTTTAGGAAGTGGATTATACCGCTAATTGGAAAACAAATAATCATAATTAGTAATTGCACTCTACTATAGAAACTAAATTAATTATATTATGTTCTTTCTGTTGTACCTTACCATGATGCCTACAAATAGCTTTTTCCATGCACTTGTTTTGTCATAGTTTTAATCTTCCTTCTCTTATTATTTTTGCTATTATTCATGATCATGGCTGGTTTTAAGAATTTCGTCATGTTCGTGGTTCTTCATTTGCTAACGGCAATGGCCATGGCCATAGATACTACATGGTATTATGGTCGTGCCACATTTTATGGTGACATGAAGGGAGGCGAGACCATGCGTAAGTCTACATGAACATACTTGTTCCCATTTCTATGCAAGATTCATATACATATATATCCGTCTTTGTTGATGTTAAATCTCAACTTAAACTCTTGCTAAAAAGAGCAACATAAATCATAAAGCTTCCGTACTTTGTGGTACATATTTATAAAATACTTGTTCCATTACCTATATATGATTCATGTGCAAATATTTTCGTCTCTCTCAACGTTAAATCTGAACTTAAATTCTCGCTAACAAAAGTTAATTCTTGGATGCAAAACAAAAGAAGTAATATGGTTTTTCTATTGTTTGGAACAAGTGGGGGCTGCTGACCCCACTAAAAAAAATATTATTAATTTGCTTCTTTTCTTTTTTGTTTTGATGAGGTTCTATACTTGTTAATGTTTCCAGGTTCAGTCCAACTCACTAGCTTTTTCCATATTGTATATTAAATTAGTTATTATCTTACTTTACTTTTTCTAAAGTTATATATATTAAATTATTTAATTTGTCCCTTTAACATTAATGCATAGGTCGATCCCTACTATATATAGTCCCCTAAATAGAATTTCTTGATTCCATTGCTGGATATATAACATTTTTAGTTGCAAAATGGCTGATAATTTGAATGGTGTGTTATTGACAGAGGGAGCTTGTGGGTATGGAGATCTCTTCAAGCAAGGATATGGGCTTAAGACAGCAGCTCTAAGCACAGCCCTCTTCAACCACGGATTAACATGTGGTGCTTGTTTTGAGATAATGTGCGTGAATGATCCCCAATGGTGCATACCAAATGCAGGCACCATCAAGATTACAGCCACCAATTTTTGCCCTCCAAACTACACCAAAAAGACTGATATTTGGTGCAACCCTCCACAGAAGCACTTTGATTTATCCATGGCAATGTTTGTGAAACTTGCTAACTACAAAGCTGGGGTCATCCCTGTTCGATATCGCAGAGTCTTGTGTTCCAAACAAGGAGGAGTCAAGTTTGAGATCAAAGGAAACAGATATTGGACACTGGTTACAGTGTACAATGTTGGTGGTGCTGGTGATGTTACCAATGTTAAAATCAAGGGGTCTAAATCAGGTTGGCAGCAAATGAGGCGCAATTGGGGCCAAAATTGGCAGATTGGAGGTGCCTTAGTAGGGCAAAGTTTGTCATTCCAAGTCACTATTAGTGATGGGAAGATGGTGCAATTCAATAATGCTGCCCCGGTTAATTGGCGCTTTGGCCAAACTTACGATGGTAGAATAAATTTCTAGGGATCCTCTCTTATGTTTATGAATGTATTGTTAGAGTTGGTGCCTAGAGTCAATCCATTTTGTAAATGTTGACTCTTGTAATTATATTTATAATTAATAAAAGACATTCTCTACATTATATAATTCGTATTTAATTATATGTTATAATATATGTCATTAGAATGATAGAACCTTGACAAAGGTGTCGAGTATTTTAAATCTCGATAGTAAGGACCCTATGATCACATATGGTGACCATTCTAGAAAGGTTTGTAGTCCTAGTATTATTCTGACTAAGGACACAAATAATACGGTAAGGCTATCATAGTATTGAATGATCTTGTCGAAAGACAGTGACTGATCTCACTTGTCAAGATTGTTTGTCAACAATCTGATACAACACATGAGTGCTTGTCATAGGCAAGTTTACTAGACAAGCTTACTAAAGGATTCCACATAGATGGTGTAGGGATAGTGGCGTGGCAAGCGCGGAATTACAAAATTTTTCTTGTCATGGCACAACCCCATGACCCAAGATCAACACTTGATATAGTAATCCACAATATAAATTTAGCCCATACAAGGTTAGGATTTACTTTCCGTTAGCGGCTCCTTCACTAGGTGTCCTTGAGATATCGCTATCAACCCAAAGTAGAGTTGAGGCTTCAACGGTATCCACACGAAAGAAGGACCGGGATCACCCTTGGGATGATTGCTAGATCACGCTCAAGAGCTTAAGGAGGGTGATGGAATTTGTGAGAGAAAAACTCTCTAAGGTGGTGGCTAGGGTTGGCGATTGGGAGAGAAAAATTTAGTCTTATTTTTGCTAAACTAAAATTGCTCAGTAGTAGAAAGCCAATTCTCTTAAAATCAAAACCCAAGCCTCCTTTATATAGTGCAAACCCTAATAGGAATTCAATTAGGATTGCGATCCCTGAATTCTTATTTTAATTGGATTGCAAATATATTAAAGGAATATATATATATGTGTGTGTGTGTGTGTATGTTTTACTATACATTTAATTAAATTAAATATATAGTCCTCATATTAATTAAAATTAATATGAATCCAATTTTACTATATCACTCTTCCAATAAATATTGGATAATGGCATCAACCCCTAGCAAAATTACCCAAGCCCCCTTTCGCCCATAATGACAAAAATGCCCTTGGATTCTCAAATTACCGAAACACCCTTTTCGGTCAAAGGGATTTGCTCTTTTATCATACCCAGTGTTGGTTGATTAAATCCTAGTTATGAACACCAACTTTAAATATTTAAAAGGTAAGGAGGAATAAGGATAGAAAAAGATAAAATTGGAATTGCGCATAACATTTGTTACAAACTAAACGCATCGTTTTAACTGCAAACACAGTGATGAGTTGACACGACACATAAACCCCCTATCTTGTCCAACTAAACCCCCTCAATTTCTCTCATGGCTTTCAGCTTCACCTTCCCTTCTTTCACTCTCAAACTCCATCACAATCACCACCCTTTTCTTTCCAAACCTTTCATTTCCCTCCCTCCTAAGCCCCTTCACTTCATTTCTCTCCGCCCCACCAGAGCCATTGGCCCCGACGGAAAGTATTACCCCGACCCATCAGACGATGACCCTCCCGAAGCCCCTGAAGATGCCGCTCATGGCATTTCTAAATTCCAACAAATCCACCGCCAAGCTTCCAGAGCTCGCAAGCGTCAAGAAGATGACTTCAAAACTCACCAGTCCACTTTTCTCTCCGCCATTGCTGATGTTGAAGACCCCTCTGTTAATTCCTCTGGGGTGACTGCTTCTCAAGATGATGATTTTTTCGGTGAAATTGATAAAGCTGTTGCTATGAAACGAGATGAGTTTGTTAAAAAGGGACTTATAAAGCCAAAGAAACCAGAAGCTGATGTTCTTCAAGGTATTGAAGAGTTGGGGGTGGATGAAGTTGTTGACTTGGAAGAGATTGATGACTTACAGGGTTTAAGAGTGGTTTCTGAAGATGAAGAAGAGGAGGTTTTTGATGACAAGTCAAGTAAGTTTGATCTTAATCTTGATGGTACTAGTGATAAGTACAAAGAAAATGGTAATGGGTTGATGCTAGATTCGTCATTTGATTTGGATTTTGATAGTTTTGGTAAGAGTAAAGCAAGAATTGTGGAACCTAAGTTTAGGATGAGTTTAGCTGAATTGCTAGATGAGAGTAAGGTGGTGCCGGTTTCGGTTTACGGTGATTTGGAGGTTGAGATTACTGGAATTCAGCATGATTCTAGAGTGGTGAGTGCTGGTGATTTGTTTGTCTGTCGTGTTGGGAGGAAAACTGATGGGCATTTGTATTTGAGTGAGGCTGATAAGAGAGGAGCAGTTGCTGTGGTGGCTAGTAAAGAGATTGATATAGAGGAGACTTTAGGCTGTAAAGCTTTGGTGATTGTGGAGGATACCAATTCAGTATTGCCTGCACTGGCTGCCTCTTTTTATAGGTATCCATCAAAGAATATGGCAGTGATTGGGATAACCGGAACTAATGGGAAAACAACTACTTCTTATTTGATCAAGGGCATGTATGAAGCAATGGGGTTAAGGACAGGAATGTTGAGCTCGGTAGCGTATTACATTCATGGGGATAATAAGTTGGAGTCACCAAACACAACACCAGATGCTGTTTTGGTTCAAAATTTAATGGCCAAGATGCTCCATAATGGGACTGAGGCTGTCGTCATGGAGGCTTCTTCTCATGGATTAGCATTAGGGAGGTGCAATGAGGTTGATTTTGATATCGCAGTTTTCACTAATTTGACAAGGGATCATTTGGATTTTCATGGGACTGAGGAGGAGTATAGGGATGCCAAAGCCAAGTTGTTTTCAAGGATGGTGGATCCAGAGAGGCATAGGAAGGTTGTTAACATTGATGACCCAAATGCTCCTTTCTTTATTGGACAAGGAAACCCAGATGTGCCTGTTGTGACATATGCGATGGAGAATAAGAAAGCAGATGTCCACCCTTTGAAGTTTGAACTGTCACTGTTTGAGACTCAGGTTTTGGTTAATACACCGCATGGGATATTGGAGATATCTTCAGGATTGCTTGGAAAGCATAATATTTACAATATTCTTGCAGCTGTGGCGGTTGGAATTGCTGTAGGGGCACCATTGGAGGACATTGTTAGAGGGATTGAAGAGGTTGATGCAGTTCCAGGAAGGTGTGAGTTGATTGATGAGGAGCAAGCATTTGGGGTGATTGTGGATTACGCCCATACTCCTGATGCCCTATCTAGACTACTTGATTCTGTGAGGGAACTTGCACCTAGGAGAATAATCACTGGTAAGCTTCATGTATATCCTACTAATATTTACTGCCTTGAATAAATAGTTAGCTTGGAAGTTGTTTGTTGGGGAAAGTGCAATTTCCTGAATAAAGTTATTTCAGTGGTTATCTATGTTTAATACCTGCATCTGTAGGTAAGGTTCTCAAGTAGACGTACTTTTTTATATTTGTTCTGACCTATATATTTTGCTTTATACATGCAGTTTTTGGTTGTGCTGGTGAGAGTGACAGAGGTAAGCGACCAATGATGACAAAGATTGCGACTGATAAAAGTGATGTGACTATTCTGACATCTGATAATCCAAAGACTGAAGATCCATGTATGTATTTTAGCCATGCTCAATGAAGAAGAATTGCTAAAATGCTTATTGATATAAGATACATTACCTGGAAGCTTAAGACTAATACCAGTATGTCTCATGTTGTCAGTGGATATCTTGGATGACATGTTGGCCGGTGTAGGATGGACAATGCAGGAGTATTTGAAACATGGAGAGAATGATTATTACCCGCCTCTTCCAAATGGTCATCGGCTTTTCCTGCATGATATCAGAAGGGTAGCTGTACGCTGTGCTGTTGCCATGGGTGAAGAAGGGGATATGGTTGTAAGTTTCTGAAACCCATTCTGCTTTTCTCTCTTTACGATTTATATTGACTAACTATTAGGCAAGGAAAAGTCACTAATAAAAGTAGGAAGTGAGTAGTTTTGTTCAAATCAGAGCAATTCTGTTGAAATCAAAATGTTACTTGAACCAAATTTATAAGATATTGAAACATAGAGACCTTTTCCACATTGCCCAAAAAGAAGGAAAATTTTCGTAAAAATAGCTGTGTCAATAGATAAGTTATTTTAAACACAGTGCATGAGGAAGTTCAATAATCATTTTCTATGAATCTTTCAAATGTCCTTTAAAAGTCTAGGATACAGATGATACAAAATATATGACTTTCTTCCTCTCCAATTTCAAATGTCTATAATCAAATGTCTTTCTATCACCCTTTCTTATTACTATCATTTTTTGTTTGTTCTGTTTATTTTCTGATGTGCATACTTCTATGCTGCAGGTGGTTGCTGGCAAAGGTCATGAAACATATCAGATCGAAGGTGACAAAAAGGAGTTCTTTGATGATCGAGAGGAATGCCGAGAAGCATTACAGTATGTTGATGAACTTCACCAGGCAGGAATAGACTCGAGTGAATTTCCATGGCGGTTAGTTAACTTATTATTTCCTTGAGTTACTCAAACATGCTTCAGTTTTAATTGTCAGATACATCATCAAAAAATCAAGTTTTTTACTTTATAGGAACTTTGAAAGTGCTTGTCAAAATCCTTTGAACGTATGTTCATGAATAGTTGAAGAAATATGTATATATATATATTTCTTTTGCCTGCAGGGTAATTCAAATTTTGTGCGAGGGAAATGTTAATTATTGTCTAGTGTCAGAATGATGGATCATTTCTTGATGTAACATACATGCCAAGTTTTGTTTGCTTGCGATAACAGGTTCAAAATGCGATAAGGACTCAGCAGAATTTTTTATTAACAATGCTTTTCGCTGCTGCAGGTTACCAGAGTCCCATTAATATTTGCTTGGAAAGAAGAGGATAATGAGAGGATGACCATGGATTACGAATTTTGCACTCGATAAAGAGAACAAGTTTTGATTCTTTGAAAACATCTAGAGTTCCAGGAAGGTTATACTGCTTTTACTGAGGTAATCATGTACAAGATATTTGAAAGCAATTCATGAAGTGCCCTTAATTGAGAAGATGATAGTAAGAACTCTAGGATGAAATTTTCATAGAATTGTAATGTTGCTTTGCAATATATTAGGTTTTTAACTCGATGACTGAAATTTTGTTAGCAAAAGATCTGCAGCAGTGTATGGAAATGTAAATTGATGATGTATTTGTTTGATATCAGTCCCATATTTTTGCATTTGAGGTATCATGATCTTCTCTTCATCTTTTATAAGAGCAAAATACAAGATTGTGATTAGTATTTAAACACAATGTTTTAAAGCGCAACCTGGGGTGAAACCCGGCAAAGTTGCCGGGTCTCGGGTTGACAGGTTTAACCAGTAACCGGTTTGATTGGCCAGTCAAATTGGGTGACAAAACTTTTAAAATTCAGCAAATACATCCTAAAAATTTTATTAAGTCCCTATAGGTTTGAAATTTAGCAAACACACCCCAAATACAAATTGGCCGACGACACCCCAAATGCAATTCCAATCGTCCACTGAGCCCATTCCCTAGAAAATCTATCCAAGATTTGGCCGAAATTGATTTTAGCTAGATTTCACCGATGCCGACGTCGGCATTCTAGGCCAGTTCTCAACGACATCTACGTTGACAGCCTTCCCTATCACCCTGAAAATACTCCTCTCTTCCTCTCAACCAAAACCCATCTCACTCCACCCTCGTTAGCCTCACTAATTGCCGAAAAAAGTCGGTTGTTGCTGTAGCCAGTTTTTTTCGATTTTCGGTCGATTCACCCATAAAAAATCAGCTTTGTTTCTACCATTGCACTCATCGGCACTTTTTCTTCAATAGCCCAAACATCCCAGCCTTCAATATTTCGTCGATAATCATCCTAAATTTTAGGATTTTGGGTGAATAGGGGAAATGTTAACCCGGCCCAATGAAGCTCCCAGGTCTTGGTTAAACTAGTCGGGCCTAGCTGGGTTTTAAAACTATGATGAAACAAAAAAAAAAAAAAAATGATAATATCCTTAAAATCTCAATAGAGCTCGAATTATAATGGAGATTTTGAACTCCTTACGAGTACAAGAAAAGCTGTGATTCAGTTACATTAAGGAATTTACTCATGAGAAATGAAAAGTATTAGCAAGTGAGGGTTGAAGCTACAGCATTAATGGCATTTATGTAAAAAAAAAAATTATGCCATTCTGCATTTTTGAGTTTGGTGATACTTTGATTCATGCTAGCTGGATTATAGATGACGCCAGATTTTTTATTTAATTTCATTTCTGCAAAACCAGTATCTTGCCTAATGCCATAACTTCAAATCATTACATGTTTGCCATTTAGAAGGAAATTTTAATCATATTTTGGCTGTGTTGCCATTTCTGCCGTCCTCCCTTTTCTGTAAAAGATGAAGAATTCTTTCCTTGCATGATAATACCCAATTTATTATTAATTTTATGGTATTTAAACTCACTTTTCGGTATACAGAAAGTATCCATCTGTTAATTGTACCATATAGGTTCTGTAATTCAAACTTTTTTTTTTCCTAATTAATGAAAGTGGATGATTTAGTAATAAAAAAAATAATTTTTAAGGTAATAAATATTATGAAAGGAGGAGTTAGAAAACTGGAATTCAGAGTTTATATATACACCATGAACATTTATTCCAAGAATGGAACCTTTTCCATCTAATAAATGCCCTTTTGCAAATATTTTGGTTCTTGTCATTTTACTTTCTCTACTGTTGAAAACATTCACAAAAAACTTAATAAAATTAATGACCATTAATTCCTAAAATTATCACTTCATAGTATACATTGATGGTGAATTTAATCCTATTTCTTTTTATTGTACTGTAAATATTTATAACTTTTACAGCTGGATCTTAGAAGGAGTCTGAATTCCAGTAAGGGAAACAAAAGTAAGACAATGAGTAAGAAACTCCAAATCTCCAATTAAGGCAGTAGCAAAATATATATAGTAAGTAATCTGGTTTTCACCAAATTTGAGGGAATAAATACACAAAAATATTTAATACAAAAACTTATAACTTTAAAAAGTGGTTGAGGCTTGGCACAGTTATCATCCCCATTTCCATGCCACCATTGCACTCCCACCAAACTTTCTGATTCACTGTCAAGTACACTGCAACACTACCAGATACAAAGACAAACTCTTTCTTTTTATCTGCAATTGCAGAAACCGTTGAAACACACAAAAACGTATCTTTTTCTTTCCTTACAGAGAGAGAACGGGGACACATAAATGCAGAGACACAACAAAGCTTGTGTGAGACATGGCATATGTTGTTGATCATCTGCAAATTAGGTGAGACAATATATATATATATATTTCTTATTTTCGTGGGTTTGACAGGTCATATTGACAAAAAGTTGATAAATTTGGGACTGAATGCTTGTTTGTTAATATTTTTTGTTGGTATTTTGATTGTAAGTATAACTTAATTTTTCTAGTTTTATTAATTGTGTTGTTTATGTTTCTGGGTTTGTAAGTGATGTTGCAAAGATAACATATAACTCACAGCTCATAATATTATTTTGATATATATTTCACTGACAGGTTCTAGCCTTTTCTAAAGTTTTAGGGATCATGTTTCTGAGTGGTTTGTGAGGTTTTGTTGCAGAGTCATAAGAGTATTTTGTTTATTCAAGCTTATGATTTCATTGGCCTGTTTGGCTTCTCTGATAATAGGACTCAGTTTGTCAGGTTTTGGATCTGTTTCTTGATTTTTAACATTATTGTTGGTTTTTATATGGAACTCGGTATTTTGATTTGTGAAAAGTATGTATCTGATCTTCAAAGAGCTAGTTTGTGCTCTTTCTTTTACACCTAGCTTTTAATGTTATTGTTGTATAAATTCTGGGTATGAATGTTAAGTTTTGTGTAATTTTTATCAATGATTATGTTGTGGAAATGGAATTTGGAGAACCAACTCAACTTTTAATCTTGTTTTGATAATATTCCTTTTTTCCTGGTATAGTTACTTCCCTTTGATAAGTTTTTGCTGATCTTCAGTTCTTTATATTAAAGGTGAAAACAAAAAAACATGGTGATGGTGATGCCAGATTAGATGACTTTGCTTTGTTCACTTTGCAGGTTTTAATCTGTTAAAGGCTTTCTGCTGAAAGCATCACGAAATAGTATCGAATCTGAGTTTGAGGGGAATTGTTCTTCAATCATCATTTCACTGTTATGTGTTTAGTATTTCCATGGTTGACTGAAAGTTCTTAGTGGTAATTCAAGGTTTCTTCCGAGAGTTTATAGTCCCAAGTGAGCATTCCTCTGAGTTTCATGATGTCCCCCAGCTCTAGAATGGGAGATGAACAGATATTTTGGCAGCGATGGGAGTTTAGGAGGAAAGATGATGGCTTTGATTCTTCTAGCGATGATTCAAAATCAAATTCCGTTGCTGAGCCTGTCCTCAAGGAGCATAACCTGGCTTCTGGCTTTATTTCTTTTGACAATGATGAAACTAGCAATACTAGCAGACTTCAGCCAAACTTAAACAATGATTCTGGTTTTGAGGGTCAATTTCAGTTTGAGAAAGCTGAAGAAAAGAAAATCAAGAGGAGTAAAAAGAATAATGTAGCTAGTCGTGAAGTGAAGAAGGATTCTCATGAAGAAGTTCATAGAAAGAAGAGTAAAACTAGTGCTTATGACCACCTTGCTGCAACCAGCGATGTTAAAAGTTTCACAGTCTCCTTATTAGAGGATCTTAGAGCAACCAGAGAAAATTTGTTTACATGGATGAGGGAGGAGATAAACAAATTGGTAGCTGATGATACTGCTCCAAGGAAAAGGAGGAGAAATGGTGCTTCTAGAGGGAAGAAAGTCCAATCGCCGCAACAAAACAACACTGAGAACATGAAAGTGCAACCCCAGAAAAACTTCAAGAAGAACCTGAAATTCCAGAAACAAAAAACCAGTGGGGACAGTATGCAAGAGCAACACCTGAACGGAAATGGGGCAATCATCCACATGCAACAACAGAACAACATTGAGAAGGACACTGAAGTGGAGTGCCAAAACAACTTTGACAAAGGCAATCAAATGCATCACCGAAATAACAAAGACAATCAGGTGCAGCATCAAAATAACTTCAAATCTGGTATGAGAGCTCCAAACTGCAATGGCAGATTTCTGGAGAGCTTTGTTAAAAGCACCAAAGCAGATGACGCTAATAATCAATGTCAAGCACTTGATGATCAGGTTGATTATGGCAAAGCTACCGAGTCCATAACATCAGTAGACAAAGAGAAAAAAGAGAGGTTAGCTTTATCTTCTAACTCGAAGTTTCAGTCCAGTTCTTCTGACCAGAGGGTCACAGTGCAGCATCCAAAGAGTGTTGTGTTGGCCATAAGAGCTCAAAACTGCAATGATCGATCTTCAAAGAGGTCTGTAGCAGGCAAAAAAAGAGCTGATTCTAATAAACTCTATCAAGTGCCTGAAGATAGAACTGGTTACAGCAGATCTATGGCATCTTGCGAAAAGGACAGAGCAAAAAGGTTGAGATTACCTGTTGAGCAAAATTTTACACTCAACCCCTCTAATCATGTAGCTTCTTCAATGTATTTAACATTACCTACAGTTTTCACTGAGCCGCCGGTCTTGAATAGTAAGTTTGATACCTCGTTGTGTAATTTTATTCAACCAAGAGTTGACGGAAACAAAACCACTGTGAATTTGGAAAGAGCAAATCAAGTGCTTGATTCTAGCAATCACTGTGGATATCTTCCAAGCATTCAAAAAGACGAAAGAGGAGGTGAGTTTGCTCAAGTGGTTTCCAGAAATATGAGTACTTTTGATCAGAATGGCATCCCAAGTTCAGGTACTGGAACTGGATTCCCAGTCCCACTTCATCAGAGTCTGGGTGATGGTTTTAGCAGTCCAGGCCAGTTATATTTTGAAAATCTTCGCCGACAGAATTGCAACACATTAGGTCTGAGAATGAATGGAGGAGCTACAACATTTTCTGGGGAAAACTATGCATTATCAGATCACCTCCACAGCCATCCAAATCATAAAGCTGATTTTAGGTTTTTGCCATATCAAATCCCAAGCACTAGAGATGGTTATGTATTCCCAAAGTAGTTCAAATGAGGTTGAATAATTAGGCATGAACCAAGATTCTATACCAAACATTTTCATACAAATAGTCTTATGATGCCTTGTTCTAATACAAGGTTTTTCTTTTACTGTTGTTCCTGCGATTCAATGTTTAACAGTAAAAAGAGTTTTTGTGGGACTTGCACTAACACTTTATTTTGAAGAGAATGCTTGAAAAAGGCAATTATTTTACCTAAGTAATTGGCTATGAAGTTTGATATTTAACTATATTCCACAACATACTGTCGAAAGTGTTGTGATTGAGAAGTGGGAATACTCATTCCTTTATCTGGAAATCTGCCTCTTATTATTTTGTGGTATTTGAAGTTAGATTTTGATGGGTTGCTTTTCTGCCCTAAACCATATTTCAAGTTTCTGTTCAAAAACAGTGAATTAGAATTATATGCCTTTCACCTTCTTGTATCTTATCATATAAACCTTTTCGGCTGGATATATGCTTTAGCTGCATTACAGCAACGACTGGATATCAAATAGATTGCTTATAGACAATTTTCATAGTGCTTTCTATCTTTCTTTATGTTTTAAAAGTAAACAGAATCCATTGTAATGCTGTCATTTGAGTCTTGATATATAAAAATATCATTGGATTCTCTTCCACCTAGTAAAGTTTTACTTTGTCTACCACTACTGGAGATAAGACCAGAATCACGAAGATCTGCCCAAACCTTCACCAGACCAACCATCAAAATTCGACTTCGGTTACTCATTGGTCTAAATCTTCATGACTAAGCAAGAGTTTATGTTGCTCTAGACTATTTAACATTTGACAACCTGGGTGGTCTTTGTGCCCATGAGTAAGATCAACCTCAAAGGAAGATTCCGTTCATCAACAAAAGCTTCCAAAAGATTAGACTATACTTTAAAAGGGATATAAAAATTATATTCCAATTCCCAACCAGCCATTGCTTATGAAAATGATTCCATCTGAATCATTGAATTAACACAAGAAAGAAATTAACAGTGTCAGACAGCATCAGTCAAACTGTTAATACAGGGCAATAAAATAAAATAACCATTCAGGTGTTCAAATCTTGCCAAAAATCTGAATATCCCTCAATTTATGGGTCAGCTGTCAGCCTTTGTAGACGTTTCTAACAGCCACATGCTTGGTCCAAAATCGGAGGACACAAGAACTGTTCTATGCGTAACATGTCGAGGTAATAACAGCGAAATACGGGACAATGTGTAAACGACCAATCTCTTCTGGTAAATCTTGAAGTGGCCTCTTTCTTTGTTCTCACATATATTAAAAAACAATTTTTTATTCATGATCAATAATAGCTTAAATCCAGGACTCATTTGGGCAAGTAATGAAGTAAAAATTTTAAAGAAAGCAACCATTAATAATGCTTTCTCTTAAGACTCCACCCCACAACACAAGAAAAGTCCAATTTGAAAGCGACAACAGACATACTAGTAGAAACAGGGGAAAGTAAAATTATGAAGAAACAATTTATTATTTAGAAAAAAAAAAAAAAAAAAAAAACCCAGAATCTGAGTTACCATAAACGTAATTCCCGCGAATTTCAACTTGGACAAAGCTTTTACTTAAAAAACCGGTAAAGATGGTAAAACGGTCCTCGAAAAACGGCGCCGTATGAAGTGCAATATCGCCTCTACCATGTCACATCAAGAAAAGCAGTAGATCCACGGTTCATTTATTAAATATATTTTCAGCACTGTCAATTATCGTATTTGTTTCTATTTTTAATTCCATTAATTTTCTTAATTAATTTAATGTAACTATTCTAAACTAAGACATTGTTGCCTTTATTATTACAACTACTAAACTAAACTGAGAACACAAAAAACAAAACAGAAGCAAATAAGTCCTTGCTTGTATCTCTATCTCTGCTCTCTAAGCTTGTGTGATGCAGAGAGAAAGAGAAGGCTGAAGAGTATTTGAAATCCATGGATTTGAAGAGGCTCACCTGGGTTTACCTTCTGTTAGCTGTGATCTCACTAGTCTGTTATCCAGCTTCGGTGACCGCTGGTGATATAGTTCACGACGACGATTCGGCTCCCAAGAAACCCGGTTGTGAAAACGACTTCGTCTTGGTAATATATTCTTGTTTTTGTGAAATCTCTGTTGGGTTTTTCTCAATTTTTTGCTTTGTTTAGCTTTTCATTTATGGGTACTTCCTTTTTGGTTAATTGGTTTCGTTTTTGGAGTTAATGGTTATTGTGAGAAGAGCTAATTTTCCTAGTTTCTGTTTTTAGTCTCAGTTTCGTTTAATTTAGAGTTAATGTTTGCTATTACATTTATGTATTTTATATTTTGATTATGTAAGTAAATGAAGATGGTAATTTTGCAATAGTTTTACCTTTTCTCCCTGCTTTTTGTTTAATTTTTGTATAATTGTTGCCTCTCATTAGTGTAAGTTTCAGAAGATATCATGTACTAGAAGTATTTTCATTTGTAAAAGAAAATAAATAAATAAAATAAAAAAGGAAAATATCTCTGAATTGAAGTGCGTCGTGCTTGTGTTATTGATTTTTTGATCACTTCATCGAATTGGGGTTATGAAACTTGTGTTGGTGTGAATCTGGCTTCAGTTACATGTCTGATATCTGTAAATTTTATTTTGTCTTTTGGGTCTTTTGGTTTTGAGAAAGTGTATAAGTAGTTGGAGTGATAAATCATGACGAAAGGTATCTACTTTCTTTGGTTCATTATTGAGTTATCTACTTCATTTCTTCTGTCTTCTCTCTTTTTCTGGTTTGTACATGATGTGGATTATGCATCCTTTTGTAAGTTGTAACTTTTCTTTAGCTTTAAAATGGAATGAAAATTATGATCTTGCCCTGTAAAACATGTTTTTTGATGATTTGGCCCATTTTAAGAATGGAGCTTTGTTCAATGTTTTAGGGCAAAGTTGGTATTTTTTGGCTTTTACAAAGTTTTTTTTGTACTCCCTGCTCTACTTCCTTTAGCTTTATGATGATTTTATTTATGAAATTTAGTATAATTATTACTTTTGTCAGGTAAAAGTTCAAACTTGGATTGATGGTGTAGAGAATGAAGAATTTGTTGGCGTGGGAGCTAGATTTGGCACTACCATAGTTTCTAAGGAGAAAAAGGCACAGAATGATCACCTTACTCTTGCGGATCCTCGTGATTGTTGCAGCATGCCAAAGAAAAAGGTTTTTCCTTTTCTACTACCTAATACTTTCAATGCTGTTACCCGTGATACTCACATTGGAGAGAATGTTGTAAATGTTTATTGAATCAATATGTATTATCTGGAATTTGTTAGTATTCTGGAGATGTCATTATGGTTGACCGTGGCCACTGCAAATTCACAACAAAGGCAAATATTGCAGAGGCTGCTGGTGCTTCAGCTGTCCTCATTGTAAATAACCAGAAAGGTAATCAGCGTATTGTTGTTGCCATGCAAGTGTTAGCTAAGGCTTCTTTAGTATCATAGACAGTAAAAATGACTTTATTGTAAATCACGCTTTCCGTATTTCATGGATATAACTGAAGGCCTCATTTGGACTATTCTCTTTACTATGGTTGTTAAATATAAGGGCAGAATTCCCTGCCAGGAGAAACAGATGGAATAACATGCTGGCAGCCATGATTCATCTTCACCATTTCTTCTTGCCTGAAAACTCATTTTTCTTTTTCTTCCTCTGCAGAACTTTACAAGATGGTCTGTGACCCTGATGAAACTGATCTAGATATACACATACCTGCTGTCATGCTTCCACAGGATGCTGGTGCCAGCTTGGAAAAGATGCTAATGAATGGTTCATCTGGTAAGTTTTTTCATATGCTTCACAGTGTATGAAGCAAACAAAATTTATCCCTTAGGTTCATTTTACTTCATTTTTGCCTTTTCATTTTGGGTTTTTTTTTTTTTTTTTGTGGTTATTCTTATCACATTTCTAGCAACATCTCCATTGTATATTGTTATGAAATATCCCATCAATGTCTTTAAGGCATTGACTTCTGAATTTTTTTTTTTTCCAGCAGTGTCTGTACAGCTATATTCTCCACGGCGACCACTAGTTGATGTAGCAGAAGTATTTTTATGGTTAATGGCTGTTGGTACCATCTTGTGTGCATCTTATTGGTCTGCATGGAGTGCCAAAGAAGCAGCTATGGAACAAGACAAGCTTCTAAAGGTTTTCTTTTCATAGAATTTTAGCTAAATAGGTTTAGCCTAATATCTTTATTTTGTAAATTGGTATTATTCTATTCTCAGCCTATGTATGCTTGCTGATTTACAAACTTGTCTTATTGATATAGGATTCTGTGGATGAAATTCCAAATGCCAAAGATGTTGGTGGTAGTGGTATTGTAGACATCAACACAGTATCAGCGGTCCTGTTTGTTGTTATTGCTTCATTCTTCTTGGTCGTGCTTTACAAACTTATGTCATACTGGTTCATTGAGCTGCTAGTCGTTCTTTTTTGCATAGGTGGTGTAGAGGTATGGGTTTTCCCTTTCACTCAAATACATGAACTTATACATATATCTCCCATTTATTATATTTATGCATCTGCAAAGAAATAGGTGTTAACTAACATGCACACTTGTGTTGAACATTAAACATGTAGGACATTAGTTTACTTTGCTTGTTTGTATTAATTCTAATGTTGTAGTTTCTTCTGCATGCAGGGTTTGCAAACTTGCTTGGTGGCTTTATTATCAAGGTGTGTATCTCTTATTTAGATATGACTTTCAGCATTTATATAAATTTTGTATTTGAACACCCAAATAGCTACATGTCCAATAACGGGCTGTTCACAACAATTTTTGTATCTTTACTTTGGAGAGTCACCTGAAGTGTTGTTATCTGCTGGTATGTTGCTATAAACAAAAACAACTGGGCTGTTGCTATAAGCGAAAACAACTGGGCTGTTGCTATTAACAAAAACAAATAATTGAGCACATTAGTACGCATGCCGTGCCTGAGGTAGGTTTACTACATGCTATGTCCCTTTGGTTTCTTCTAAATGTTTTCAAAAAGCATGTACAATCTTCTGCTTTTTGTCATCAGCTTTAGCAATTAGGCAAACTCAATTCCCAGAGCTATGTCGCTTTGGTTTCTTCCCAATGTTTTCAGAAAGCATGTACAATCTTCTGGTTTTGGTCGTCAGCTTAAGCAATTACGCAAACTCAACTCCAAGTCTTGTCAACCACTTAAAATCTCAGATATGTTCCCGGAAAGGTGGTGCATAGATATATTGTGTATTGGCTACAGGAGACTGACAGAATAGTGTTATATTCATAAGAAAGTGAAATCTTATCCTTTTGCCTTGAATTAGAAAGCTACCTTATTCATGAATATCATATCTTTCTTTATTTGGACATTATATTTTGCTTTCTTTCTGTATCCCAAATTTTGTACACAAGGAGGAATATCATGTACCTGTCATACAGTTTTAGTTAACAGCAGTGAAGACTTTGTTAAATTATAGGTGCAGAATGGTCTGATGGCCTTTGTTTAGAAGCTGTGCAGAATGGTTTGATGGCCTATTTTTAGATGCATGGTTTTGTAGCTTGTATATGTTTCCCTGTTAGATTATCTTTCAATTTTGTGGCCTTCAATAGAGTTCTCTAAGGTTGAGAACTAAATGTAGACAATCTTTGACAGGTGGTTCAAACATGCTGGCGAGTCATTCATCAAAGTACCTTTCTTTGGAGCTATTTCATACCTTACTCTGGCTGTTTTTCCATTCTGCGTAACATTTGCTGTTATTTGGGCTGTTTATCGTAAGGACTCCTTTGCCTGGATAGGTCAAGATATACTTGTAAGGATATACTTCCCTATCTCTCCTGATGGTAACTTTTTTTTCTGGGAAGGAGTGGAGTCGGGGTATTATTATCAGCTTTCACTTATCAAATGGTCATGGGAACTCTATGCAATGTTTTTGAACTTCTACGGTTAGTTACTGTTAAGAGGTTGCAAGCTACTATGAATTCTTGGCAAAATAAAAAATAATGGTCTTTTTATAAATTGCAGTGTGCTAATCATATACATGCTGATTGAGAGCCCTACCAAAGAATAACTGAATTGTCCAAAAATATTAGAAAACCCCATTACATCGTGTAAATGAAATGGGTACAACACTCTTTATGATTATGTATAGTCATTTAATCTCTTGAGGTTTTCTTTAGACAATTTCTGGTCTTCAGAATTTGCAACCCTGTCATGCACCTGAGTGAATATAAAAGGCTATTAGTTACCTATCAGTTCATGACTTAAAAACTATTTTCTCTTGATGATGCACTTTTCTTTCTTTATTATTGCTCCAAATGCTGGAAGATTTACCCAGTCCTTTATGCTTGTTGGTTGGTTATTTAATTTTACTATTTTCATATTACCACAGCAGTGATGTTTTTTTATTATGGAGCTCAACATCTTTAAAAGTTGATCTTATGAGTACTTTTTGGTAAGATGGTGATGAATGAATTATGTGGTAGAATTTAACTAACAAGTGCTTTTTTATTTGTTTTTGGATCAGGGTATTGCATTGATAATTACAGTTCTTCAAATTGTGCATGTACCTAATCTCAAGGTATTATTTTAAATTCATCTGCTACATGGGTGGGAAATGGCTGGTTGTTGACTTACATTTGTGTAATTTTAGTCAGTAGTCTTTGCTTTTAATTTTAAGATCCTGAAAAGTAATAGTCATGGATGGAATTCTTTGTGAATAGGTATGAATAGGATCACGTTATAAAGTAGTCAGTGTGAACTTGCAAATTGGAGTTATGAGGTGTTTATTAGAACCAAGACTTTGTGTAGTTGTTCCCTCATAATGGAAGCCATCTATTCATGTTCTATTGCTGTTTAGCATATCTTAAAGTTTGTGCCTCTTGATGATGAAAGGATATTAAAAGAATTATAAATTCTCTTTTTTTTTTTTTTAAAGGTGATTTCAAAGTAATTACCTTAGTTTTGTATTACTGCTATCTTCTTGTATTGTTTGATTAATGCTTATAATGCCAGTTTATTTGTGACTTGTTATTGACTAATTCATGTTGAATTTTAGATAGAATTGACAACATCTCCTCTAACAATATTCTGAGTGATTTGTTTATCAGGTGGGTACAGTTCTACTCAGTTTTGATCACTTCATCGAATTGGGGTTATGAAACTTGTGTTGGTGTGAATCTGGCTTCAGTTACATGTCTGATATCTGTAAATTTTATTTTGTCTTTTGGGTCTTTTGGTTTTGAGAAAGTGTATAAGTAGTTGGAGTGATAAATCATGACGAAAGGTATCTACTTTCTTTGGTTCATTATTGAGTTATCTACTTCATTTCTTCTGTCTTCTCTCTTTTTCTGGTTTGTACATGATGTGGATTATGCATCCTTTTGTAAGTTGTAACTTTTCTTTAGCTTTAAAATGGAATGAAAATTATGATCTTGCCCTGTAAAACATGTTTTTTGATGATTTGGCCCATTTTAAGAATGGAGCTTTGTTCAATGTTTTAGGGCAAAGTTGGTATTTTTTGGCTTTTACAAAGTTTTTTTTGTACTCCCTGCTCTACTTCCTTTAGCTTTATGATGATTTTATTTATGAAATTTAGTATAATTATTACTTTTGTCAGGTAAAAGTTCAAACTTGGATTGATGGTGTAGAGAATGAAGAATTTGTTGGCGTGGGAGCTAGATTTGGCACTACCATAGTTTCTAAGGAGAAAAAGGCACAGAATGATCACCTTACTCTTGCGGATCCTCGTGATTGTTGCAGCATGCCAAAGAAAAAGGTTTTTCCTTTTCTACTACCTAATACTTTCAATGCTGTTACCCGTGATACTCACATTGGAGAGAATGTTGTAAATGTTTATTGAATCAATATGTATTATCTGGAATTTGTTAGTATTCTGGAGATGTCATTATGGTTGACCGTGGCCACTGCAAATTCACAACAAAGGCAAATATTGCAGAGGCTGCTGGTGCTTCAGCTGTCCTCATTGTAAATAACCAGAAAGGTAATCAGCGTATTGTTGTTGCCATGCAAGTGTTAGCTAAGGCTTCTTTAGTATCATAGACAGTAAAAATGACTTTATTGTAAATCACGCTTTCCGTATTTCATGGATATAACTGAAGGCCTCATTTGGACTATTCTCTTTACTATGGTTGTTAAATATAAGGGCAGAATTCCCTGCCAGGAGAAACAGATGGAATAACATGCTGGCAGCCATGATTCATCTTCACCATTTCTTCTTGCCTGAAAACTCATTTTTCTTTTTCTTCCTCTGCAGAACTTTACAAGATGGTCTGTGACCCTGATGAAACTGATCTAGATATACACATACCTGCTGTCATGCTTCCACAGGATGCTGGTGCCAGCTTGGAAAAGATGCTAATGAATGGTTCATCTGGTAAGTTTTTTCATATGCTTCACAGTGTATGAAGCAAACAAAATTTATCCCTTAGGTTCATTTTACTTCATTTTTGCCTTTTCATTTTGGGTTTTTTTTTTTTTTTTTGTGGTTATTCTTATCACATTTCTAGCAACATCTCCATTGTATATTGTTATGAAATATCCCATCAATGTCTTTAAGGCATTGACTTCTGAATTTTTTTTTTTTCCAGCAGTGTCTGTACAGCTATATTCTCCACGGCGACCACTAGTTGATGTAGCAGAAGTATTTTTATGGTTAATGGCTGTTGGTACCATCTTGTGTGCATCTTATTGGTCTGCATGGAGTGCCAAAGAAGCAGCTATGGAACAAGACAAGCTTCTAAAGGTTTTCTTTTCATAGAATTTTAGCTAAATAGGTTTAGCCTAATATCTTTATTTTGTAAATTGGTATTATTCTATTCTCAGCCTATGTATGCTTGCTGATTTACAAACTTGTCTTATTCATATAGGATTCTGTGGATGAAACTCCAAATGCCAAAGATGTTGGTGGTAGTGGTATTGTAGACATCAACACAGCATCAGCGGTCCTGTTTGTTGTTATTGCTTCATTCTTCTTGGTCGTGCTTTACAAACTTATGTCATACTGGTTCATTGAGCTGCTAGTCGTTCTTTTTTGCATAGGTGGTGTAGAGGTATGGGTTTTCCCTTTCATTCAAATACATGAACTTATATATATATATCTCCCATTTATTATATTTATGCATCTGCAAAGAAATAGGTGTTAACTAACATGCACACTTGTGTTGAACATCAAACATGTAGGACATTAGTTTACTTTGCTTGTTTGTATTAATTCTAATGTTGTAGTTTCTTCTGCATGCAGGGTTTGCAAACTTGCTTGGTGGCTTTATTATCAAGGTGTGTATCTCTTATTTAGATATGACTTTCAGCATTTATATAAATTTTGTATTTGAACACCCAAATAGCTACATGTCCAATAACGGGCTGTTCACAACAATTTTTGTATCTTTACTTTGGAGAGTCACCTGAAGTGTTGTTATCTGCTGGTATGTTGCTATAAACAAAAACAACTGGGCTGTTGCTATAAGCGAAAACAACTGGGCTGTTGCTATTAACAAAAACAAATAATTGAGCACATTAGTACGCATGCCGTGCCTGAGGTAGGTTTACTACATGCTATGTCCCTTTGGTTTCTTCTAAATGTTTTCAAAAAGCATGTACAATCTTCTGCTTTTTGTCATCAGCTTTAGCAATTAGGCAAACTCAATTCCCAGAGCTATGTCGCTTTGGTTTCTTCCCAATGTTTTCAGAAAGCATGTACAATCTTCTGGTTTTGGTCGTCAGCTTAAGCAATTACGCAAACTCAACTCCAAGTCTTGTCAACCACTTAAAATCTCAGATATGTTCCCGGAAAGGTGGTGCATAGATATATTGTGTATTGGCTACAGGAGACTGACAGAATAGTGTTATATTCATAAGAAAGTGAAATCTTATCCTTTTGCCTTGAATTAGAAAGCTACCTTATTCATGAATATCATATCTTTCTTTATTTGGACATTATATTTTGCTTTCTTTCTGTATCCCAAATTTTGTACACAAGGAGGAATATCATGTACCTGTCATACAGTTTTAGTTAACAGCAGTGAAGACTTTGTTAAATTATAGGTGCAGAATGGTCTGATGGCCTTTGTTTAGAAGCTGTGCAGAATGGTTTGATGGCCTATTTTTAGATGCATGGTTTTGTAGCTTGTATATGTTTCCCTGTTAGATTATCTTTCAATTTTGTGGCCTTCAATAGAGTTCTCTAAGGTTGAGAACTAAATGTAGACAATCTTTGACAGGTGGTTCAAACATGCTGGCGAGTCATTCATCAAAGTACCTTTCTTTGGAGCTATTTCATACCTTACTCTGGCTGTTTTTCCATTCTGCGTAACATTTGCTGTTATTTGGGCTGTTTATCGTAAGGACTCCTTTGCCTGGATAGGTCAAGATATACTTGTAAGGATATACTTCCCTATCTCTCCTGATGGTAACTTTTTTTTCTGGGAAGGAGTGGAGTCGGGGTATTATTATCAGCTTTCACTTATCAAATGGTCATGGGAACTCTATGCAATGTTTTTGAACTTCTACGGTTAGTTACTGTTAAGAGGTTGCAAGCTACTATGAATTCTTGGCAAAATAAAAAATAATGGTCTTTTTATAAATTGCAGTGTGCTAATCATATACATGCTGATTGAGAGCCCTACCAAAGAATAACTGAATTGTCCAAAAATATTAGAAAACCCCATTACATCGTGTAAATGAAATGGGTACAACACTCTTTATGATTATGTATAGTCATTTAATCTCTTGAGGTTTTCTTTAGACAATTTCTGGTCTTCAGAATTTGCAACCCTGTCATGCACCTGAGTGAATATAAAAGGCTATTAGTTACCTATCAGTTCATGACTTAAAAACTATTTTCTCTTGATGATGCACTTTTCTTTCTTTATTATTGCTCCAAATGCTGGAAGATTTACCCAGTCCTTTATGCTTGTTGGTTGGTTATTTAATTTTACTATTTTCATATTACCACAGCAGTGATGTTTTTTTATTATGGAGCTCAACATCTTTAAAAGTTGATCTTATGAGTACTTTTTGGTAAGATGGTGATGAATGAATTATGTGGTAGAATTTAACTAACAAGTGCTTTTTTATTTGTTTTTGGATCAGGGTATTGCATTGATAATTACAGTTCTTCAAATTGTGCATGTACCTAATCTCAAGGTATTATTTTAAATTCATCTGCTACATGGGTGGGAAATGGCTGGTTGTTGACTTACATTTGTGTAATTTTAGTCAGTAGTCTTTGCTTTTAATTTTAAGATCCTGAAAAGTAATAGTCATGGATGGAATTCTTTGTGAATAGGTATGAATAGGATCACGTTATAAAGTAGTCAGTGTGAACTTGCAAATTGGAGTTATGAGGTGTTTATTAGAACCAAGACTTTGTGTAGTTGTTCCCTCATAATGGAAGCCATCTATTCATGTTCTATTGCTGTTTAGCATATCTTAAAGTTTGTGCCTCTTGATGATGAAAGGATATTAAAAGAATTATAAATTCTCTTTTTTTTTTTTTTAAAGGTGATTTCAAAGTAATTACCTTAGTTTTGTATTACTGCTATCTTCTTGTATTGTTTGATTAATGCTTATAATGCCAATTCATTTGTGACTTATTATTGACTAATTCATGTTGAATTTTAGATAGAATTGACAACATCTCCTCTAACAATATTCTGAGTGATTTGTTTATCAGGTGGGTACAGTTCTACTCAGTTGCGCCTTCTTGTATGACATCTTTTGGGTGTTTGTTTCCAAGAAGTTGTTTCATGAAAGTGTGATGATTGTGGTAATTATTCCGCCTCATTTGACTTAATATCTAATTTTTGGCTTAGACTGTACTATGAACTTCCTGAAAGTGGAAAAAGAGGTACTTAAAATGCTGGAGTGCAATTGTAATTGTTCATGTCTTTGTATTTATAGGTAGCTCGCGGTGATAAGAGTGGAGAGGATGGTATTCCAATGCTACTGAAGATTCCACGCATGTTTGACCCATGGGGTGGTTTCAGTATCATAGGATTCGGTGACATCCTTCTACCTGGATTAGTGATAGCATTTTCACTCAGGTTTAAGCTCTTCCATCTTTCTTCGCTTAGAAGAGATTTGTTCACATTGTTAGTCTATACTTGCAAGTTTGAACATTTGCTGAATGCTTTGGTGTTTTTCATTCTCTTAAGGGTAAACATGATCCTGGATGTTTACTTTTTCTCCCTCTTTTTTTTTTTTTTTTTTCTCTCCTAGAGGAGACAGTTTTATAAAATCTTGAATCAATTTGCTCCAAAGAAAGTAGGTAGTTTTAAGATAAATCACACTGAACTTCTAAGTTTCTATAATGTTGAAATCATCCCTTGTGGTTTGAAAATATTACAAACACCCCTATGGATTTTCAAATATAACATCCCTAAGGTGTAATGGGATAAATATCACCAGACCCCCCAGAATCACTATGAGCCGGAGTACTTGTGGACAAATATCTACATGGGACGGTCTTGTCACCTCACTTGGCTAACATGTTGTGACCATCCTATGATATAATGGCATGTGTCACCTCATATTTGTCAAATTTTCTCTATCATCTAGCCATCACCATGATTCATGAATAACTGCCCATTATCATTCATTAATAACTACCCTTTACTGTAATTTAGCTCAAGAGCTTTCAGTTTGAGTTAAAATCATATCGCAAACTATTATCCAAAACTAAAGTAACTTCTGGTGTACTTGAGAAGTTCTGTTTCGCACTTCTGTGCGATGTCTGTTTATTCTTCCTTTTTACTTCAAAGTGCTCTATTTGGTAACTATGGCTGGAAGATTCCGGAAAAGAAATATGAAGTTCTACAACAGAGTTGTGACTGTTGTAGAAATCCAATAATTTCTCTTTACCAACTGGAGACGATTAAATTTTAAATTGTAACTTGGGCTTGTATTAGACAAGTAAAAGAACATTGAGGCAATAATTTTGTTTTATTTTTTTCATTTTTTTTTTATCTGCATATTCTTTGTGGTGAGTAGGTTCTCAAAATAATCAGTAATTTGTGCATAAAGAAACTGCAATATTAACTCAACCTTTGCAGATATGATTGGCTGGCAAATAAGAGTCTTCGAGCTGGATACTTCTTGTGGGCAATGTTTGCTTATGGTTTCGGTAAGAAATAATAAAATAATATTTTTTTCTTGTTATATTCATGATATGAATATGATAATATATCTCATTAAACAAGATTCTACTAAAAGAACTCAAATTTCAGTTTGAAGACCTATTGCCATGACATCCATATATTTATCTTGGGTTTCTGAAAAGTTACTTATTTTCTCAATCAATGTTAGGTCTTCTCATTACATATGTGGCACTGAACTTGATGGACGGGCACGGTCAACCAGCATTGCTTTACATCGTCCCCTTCACACTAGGTAAATTTATCATTGCAGAAACCAGTGAGAAAATGCCTTAATGTTTCCAGTAACCTGATGAAATTCCATGCATTCATTCCTTCAGGAACTTTTCTTACATTGGGGAAGAAGAGAGGTGATCTCAAGGTTCTGTGGACAAGAGGAGAACCTGAAAGACCCTGCCCCCATGTCCAATTCCAACATAGTCAGGAACTAAATGAAGAAAAATAAAGGCTTGCTGTAATTATAGAGTGTAGAGATTCTAGTGTATGTCTAATCATTGGAAATCAGTTGAAAAACTAAACCAGCCTGTCAAGCTTAGCAACCATAACATGGGAAGATAAATTATGCAGCTGATAATATATTAAGTGTTATAAAAGATTTGTTTCCTGTAAAAATCTTCCTTTTCCAGTTTCATGCCTGCCTAATTTTTGCTGTCAATATTTCTATTATCTCCATTTGTATCATGGATGAATCAAATATCGGTTGAAGTCTTTAACATTAGTTTCTCTTTTAAGTTGAAGGAACTGGGGATCAGAACAGAATATTTGCAGACTAATTGAAGCAAATGATTGAGCAAATTAGTAAAAGGAAACCATTCTGCAAGCATGATTAAAATAAGCATGTGAAAATTATTGGGGAATGTTGAATTGATTATATCAGTTAAAGATTACAAGATATGGATATGGTTGCCTTGTAGTGGAGTATATATATAATAATATCCCACCATTTTGGCACAATCAGCCATAAATTGACATGACTGAGGCATCAATTATGAAATTTCAAAACACAAAGCAGGCACAGCCACAGCCACAGCCAGCCAGTTCATAATATTCCTAATAATGAACAGAGAAAAATATTCCCTTCCCCCACCCATCATTTTCCTTCTAAAATCAAAACTAAAGGTTCCAGTTGCTTTGCTTGATCATAAAGAAAATCAGAGAAAGGCTACAAATACAGTACAATCACTCTTGGTGATGGGTCGGTGTGGGTCAAGCTGCCATGGTGGTCATATTCATATATACTAAAAGTAGAAAAATACAAATACACAACCAGTAGCGTCAGATGAGTGACACGTGGAGAAAATACAGTGGTTTGGACGGTTGATGATGAGAATTTAGTGAGGGTGTTGTTTTCAAAGAGAAGAAGCATGGTTGGTTGGCAATGGCATGGGGGGGCCCTAGTGTGTTTGCATGTGATTGCAGAGAAGAAGAGGAAGAGTATGAGTTGTCTACCATGATTCACAGCCCCTCTTTTTTATACATCTTTTAAACTCAAAATATTTCAAAAGAAGAGCTTATGGTCCCCCAACCTCTTTACCTCTTTTAACACAATCAAATTATATCATACACGAGACTAATAGAGTTTAAGTTCGATTTATCTCGAACCCTGTCAGGTTAATCACTGAAAGTTTATCCGATCGTTAACTTTAAGACCCGAATGATTAATTAAGGTTTCGAATATATTCTTTTAACCTGGGTATATACCTTGACGCTATAGACATTCGAACTAGAACCAATATGAGTACTATTTTATTATTATTTTTTTAAATAAATTAATTTTACAATTTCATTTGAACTTTTAATTGTGATAATATCATGATGGGTATGTAAGTGGGTTTAATTAATGGACCCTACTTGCATGTCTTAAGGGTTGGAAAAGTAATTTCCCATAATAATTATGTCATACATAGCCGTTAACCACGTGTTTACTCAAGGCTGTCACTTTCTCAACGGTCACAAAACGGTCGTCTTTTCTCAGCCTTTGGATTTGTTTTATTGGCAAATTGGAATTTTATTTTGTGGTTGTGATTCACCACCCGTTTGAAGAAATTCCCGTTACTTTAACAGAAGAAAAAGAAAATGGTTACATGAAATCACCATTTTACCCTGTCAACTTCGCCAGGGTGAAACGCTTTTCAACATTCTTAAAGAAGTTAAACAAATCACAACCGTTCAAACCCAAGAAAGTAATTTGGGATTTTGCTGATTGGTGAAGAAAGGTAGCTCACGGCCCAATGAGAAAATATTTTAGCACCACACAGCTTCTCTCGTGTGAATTTTAAGGGCATGTTTGGCATGAAAATAAAAGTTCTGAACTATTTTCCATCAAGTAATCCAACTAAACAAACAGGGTCTCCAACAAGTGGACCACCAAAAAATCTCATCCACAAGATAAGTCATTCTGATTAGGTTAATGATAATCAGATGGCCCAGAACAGCTAATCAAAAACATCACACAATTTCAAAAGCTTAGTATTGACAAAACACCAAAAAAGAAAAAGATGAACACATTTATTATATTATGTAAATGGGTATGACACTCTGTTGAAGTTGAAGATAAGGCCAAAGGGACATCGAACCAACCAGTATCTGTCAACATCCCTCTCCCTTTCCAGAACAATCTTCCAAACCCTAATCAAATCCCTAATAATGATACTTCTACATTAATCTAAATTAAAATCAATAATGGAAATAATAGAAAATGAAGACAGCCAACTTTGTCTTTTGGCCACAAAATATATTTACTTATTAGTGACACAACCCATCTATAAAACCACCTTTTATCCTCAACTTTCTCACTACTACTACTACTACTACTGCTAAACACAACCTAGAGTTGTCTTGCTTCTTCATAGAAAGAGAATCTTTTGAGCTTTTTGAGGGGCTGCAATGGAGGGTAAAGAAGAAGATGTTAAGCTTGGAGCTAACAAGTTCCCAGAGAGGCAACCCATTGGGACCTCAGCTCAGTCTGACAAAGACTACAAGGAGCCACCACCAGCACCACTCTTTGAGCCTGGCGAGCTCAAGTCATGGTCTTTCTACAGAGCTGGTATTGCAGAGTTTACGGCCACCTTTTTGTTCCTTTATATCTCTGTCTTGACTGTCATGGGTGTCTTAAAGTCCAACACCAAGTGTGCCACTGTTGGTGTTCAGGGTATTGCTTGGGCCTTTGGTGGTATGATCTTCGCCCTTGTTTACTGCACTGCTGGTATCTCAGGTCAGTAGATGATGATTAAAGTTCCTTCCTTTGTTTTTTAAAATTTTGAGGGGAAAAAAATTATTTTTAGTGGGTTTTGTTAACTAGATCTGTTTGCTTTGGTGTTGCAACAGGAGGACACATCAACCCAGCTGTGACTTTCGGTCTTTTTTTGGCTAGGAAGCTGTCCCTCACAAGGGCTGTTTTCTACATGATCATGCAGTGTCTCGGTGCCATCTGTGGTGCTGGTGTTGTTAAGGGATTTGAAGGTTCTGGGAACTATGAAAGGTTGGGTGGTGGAGCCAACGTTGTGAACCATGGCTACACCAAGGGTGATGGTCTTGGTGCTGAGATTGTTGGCACCTTTGTTCTTGTCTACACTGTCTTCTCTGCAACTGATGCCAAGAGAAATGCCAGAGACTCTCACGTCCCTGTATGTACCACTGAACCCTTTCTTTTGTAGCTTTAGGTTTATTTTTGTTTTATAACATATCTAGTTTAGGCGGGCCGTCGATAGTTTGATGTTTTGTCTGGTTAAAGTTAAACTACGAGTTAAATTTTCATGCTTTAGAGTTACACCTAGCTTTAGAATATTGTTTTCAGTTGTTTTGGCTTATAAAATGACCTGAGTCCTGAAATCTTAGTATCAAGGAGCAGTTTGATTCCTTAAAAGACCTCCTTTATCTTATTTTAGTCGATCTTTCAAGGAGATTTGATTGGGTTCCTCAGGCCTTTAAGGGGTAATTGTGAATCCTTAAATAAAACAAGGAAAAAACTGAAGTGGGTTCTGGTTTTACAAGTCTCTAATTGGTTTTGTAACTGTGAACAGTATCGGTCGTTGGTATGGTGAATGGTTTTGCCTCTTCCTGGTGCGCTTTGTCTTTATCATTCTGTAAAATCAGCTTTAGGTTGGCGTAGGTTAGCTAGCTAGCTCATTCTTATCTCTTATGATGGTGCTACCATGTGCTCTTTGTTTGGTTGTTTGTCTGATGTGTAAAGTGCTTTTTTCTTGACCCTGCCATGGGAGTGGGACCTTCCACACCCATATCGAGGAAAACTTTTTTTTAAGCTTAAGCAAGCTATCCCATCCCATCCCCACCATGTTTGTCTATTTTAATTATTAAAAAAATAACGTTAAAGAACAGTTGTGAAGTAGTATTGGATTTGGGAAATGTTGGAGGTCCTAAACAGCAAATAGAATTAAGAATTTTGATCATAATTTAGATTTAGTTTGGTTTTGACTGTGATTCAATTTGCAGATTTTGGCTCCTCTCCCAATTGGGTTCGCAGTGTTCTTGGTCCACCTGGCCACCATCCCCATTACAGGAACTGGCATCAACCCTGCCAGGAGTCTTGGAGCTGCCATCATCTTCGACAAAGATCATGCATGGGATGATCAGGTAAATCAATCAATCCCTTCATTCAAAACCATATATATATATATATATTTCCACTGCTTGGCCGTGAATTCATTTATTGAAATTGTATATGTGATTGCAGTGGATCTTCTGGGTTGGACCCTTCATTGGAGCTGCACTTGCTGCTGTGTACCATCAGATAGTCATCAGGGCTATTCCCTTCAAGAGCAGGGCTTAAGTTTTAGTCCCATCTTTTTTTTTTTTTTTAAATATTATCTTCGTTGTGTCTTTTTTTAATTTTTCTCTTGTGTTTTTGGTGTTAAGAGATGTTTATTATGTGTGTAAATTATCTAGTACTGTTGTATCAAGCTTGCGATAATCTGGATGGAGGATTCTTTTTTAGTTTTTATTATTCTACTTAATTATTTGATATTCTACTTATTAACATAGTTATTGATTAATGAAATGTTCTGGGTATTGTTCTTGTGCAAGCTGTGCAACATAGATGGTTTGTGATCGGTTGGCAAGATCTTATAAATCTTGTATTTGAGTTTTATCAAATTATTTATTATATTTGTGATGTATTTGATTTATACATATTTAATGGATCAGATTAGTTCAGATATGTCCTGTAAACAAAAATTAGGAAAAAAAAAAAAAACCATAGATGAGATGTTTCTGACTTAAAAGAAATGGGACTTTTAATAATTTAATTATGAACGATGGATTGATTGATTAAGAAATGGTAAGCTGAAAATAATGCGAGAAGAAAAGAGGTATTATGTTTGATAATTTTAATATAGACAAGAGTATTTACCATGGACAGATGTTTACTTATAATGTACGTTCATTTATAGTTTAAATTAAAAACAAAAATTATGGATATCTATCCATATATTATAAACGGGTGTTCTTATTGAATGGATGTCCGTCTTTATTAGATGAGTGTTCATCTATTGTTTAAATTAAAAATTTTACACAAAAATCACAATGAACTGGTGTTCCTATTAGAAAAAATTTCACTGTCTCGACAAAATTGTAACAACAATAAAAGCATAATGGGTGGATCTAATAAGAATAAAAAGAAACATGAAAGTAATGTATAGTTTTGGTCATATTCTTATGACACTTGTTCAATTATTTTGAATATAGACAATCAATTTAAGGAAAGATAGTGACATTTACTTTTTAGATCATGAGACTCAAATGTTATGTTATGTGTAAAAATTTTTAAATTAAATAATGGACATGCGTCGATCTAAAAGGGACGTCCGTCTATTGAATATAGACACATGTCTATATAATATATGAATGGGCGTCCATAATTTTTGTTTTAACAATTTTTTATTTTAAACAATGGACGGTCATCCATTCTAGGTGGAAGCCCGTCCATTGTTATTTTTCATAGATAGGAGTCCATTTAAATTGAACGGTCATTCAATAATCATGAACGCTCATCCATATTTGATCGACGACCGTTCATTCGCGGAATATTTGTTAATATGCTACATGATTGCGTCTACTCAGCTAACATATCATTCGGTACAAAATTTCGGTGCAGATTTTTGGTGTCCATAGCATTATTGTATAGGCTACTTATGTTACAATATTTTAACACTATCTTATTCCATTGTCGTATACAATTCTATCCAAATATATATTTGTTTCAATATCTAATTTTTTTTTCCAAAATCTAATCATATTCTATTTAACTTAAAATATTAATAATTACCTTTCTAAAAAATTTTATCAAACACATTTTTAAATTCAAATCATATTCTCATAAAACCAACTTAAAACATTAATAATTACCTTTTTAAACAAAATTTATTCAACACATTTTTAAATTCAAAATCATACACTTATGAAACCACCTAACTCAACTCAACTTTACCATTATAACAAAGTGTCATAATTATTATAGGTAAAAGAAAATGACAACAATCTGGGCCAAACTGACAAAACCTCTGTTCGGCCCATGTAACGTCCTTGTCTCTACTGAAACGATAAACTGGTCTAGTCCTATTCTGAAAATACTGATTCACTGACTATTAACGTTCATATTTTTGGTAGATATAAGTAGCATTCAAAGTACTAAATGGAGGGTGCCCTGTAGCCCGAGATCAGTATCTGTGAGAAGGGTGTGTTTGTTTTATTTTTCCTGTCATATCTTATTCAAAATATTTTTAATCCCTTAAGTTTATTAATTTAATAAACGCCCTCAACAATAAAAGTTTATAAATCGATAAAAACACTCCAATCCACTCACACATTCCCTGTAACCGGTGGCCGGTTGCCGACATTTAATAGGTAGATAGGGGTATTTTTGTTAGTTTTAAAATTTTTATTATAGGGAGTGTTTAACTGAATTAACAAATATAAGGGATTAAAAAAATAATCTTACTAAACACATTTTTAAATTCAAATCTTATCATCATCGTAATAATAATCCAACCCAACTTTTTTTAAAATATTATTCGGAAAAATAAAACAAACCCACCGAATCAGGCTTGTTTGAGAGTAACAATTAAAATGTGAAACAAGTAGTCCAAAAACAGATGGTGGTGGGATAAAATGAAAGACTTTTAGGTAGCATTCACATTCTTGAGATATTCATGTTATGGTACTAAAAAAAAGATACTTAATATATAATAAACTTAAAAATGAATTTATATATTATTTCCTATTATTATGTAAATTATGGAATAATCATTTATATACCTCCTTTAAATGAAATAATCTTTGTTAGAATTCTAAAGAGAAAGACAAATAATGAAATCGTATATTCAACTTACAATACAAGTTAGAATCATGTTAATGAATTATGTTAATGGCTAAAATCAAGAGCTATATAGTGCTTGATTCAAGCCATTGATCACGTCTTGCTTGATTCAAGCTATTGATCAAGTTTTACTTAATTTTGGCTAACAATCTGAACATTGAATTTATAGATTATCATCTATTATTATGTAAAAAATGTAATAATCATTTACAAACTCCCCAGTCGGATCTAATGTAATTCCTATTTCGATGTTTGATTTTTATGGTTTGATATCGACTCACTCACTTTCTAAATTTCTGAGTGTTTTTCTTAAACTATAATTTTTCCTTATCAAATCGGAGAAACCAATCCCTATTTATAATCGCACCCAAGTCCTATGTTAAGTTGCACCCACTTTCCACGTTTTGAGGAAAGAGATGTAAATGCCCATAAATAATGGTCCACTTACATAATAATCATTGTGATATTCTAAATTTACCTGTTTGGGAATTAAAGACCAATGGTATATTCCCTTATAACTTATTAGAGTAGGGTTTATGAAAATATAGTTTTATAAAAAAAAAAAAAAAAAAAAAAAATTGTTAGTTGTTTAGTTAGCAAGATATAAAAGACTTTAATATATATGAAAATATCGGTCAAATTTATAAAATATTATAGAGATATTTTTAAAATTTTAATTAACACTTTAAATAAGTTGAAAAGAAGTTAAATAAGCTATTTTACTTGGAAAAAAAAAATACCTATAATTTTAAATAAACTCTTTTAGATAATAGATAAATTTGATCATATTCTTTAGGGTCTGTTTGGGAGTTTTTTTTTTCACTGGTTTTGAAGGGTTTTTAATTAGACTGGTTTTGAGGTGTTTTAAAACCATTACTTACCAGATTTTTATGCATTGGTTTTGATTGGCTCAAAAACCCCTTAGAACTAGAACTAGTGTAGTGTATTTTTGAGGGGTTTATAAAACACCCCAAATCGGAGTATTTTGGTTGGTTTTAATTTTTTATTCCACAAATACCCTATCCACTATAGAATTATCCCAATTATATCAAAAAAAAAAAAAAAAATTAAACATATTATGCGCATCTCCAACCATATTAAATATAAAATAATTTTAAACAATTATAAATTTTTTTTTCATTAAAATCTCATTTCTAGATGCTTTGTTGGAGAAGTGAAGCTATAATTTTTCAATCATTCCATATATTGCAAAGAATGACGAAGAATGATAAGAAGATTTCACATTTGAAGTTATAAAATACTAATAAGTAGAAAACAAATAAAGAACCCTTATCTTATAATTGAAAAAACAAAACTCTCAAGTATTAGTTGAAATTGAGGTATTGTTATGGACATATATATAAATTTATCATTTTAAAAATCAGTAAAAAACGGTAGAAAATAAACTCCCAAGCACAGATTGAGTGTTTTAAAAACCGTTACTAAAAACCCCTCAAAACTGCGCTACCATGAAACTCTCAAGCGGACTCTTAGTAACTGTGATTAGTTATACCCCATGGTCTTGCATTCGAGTCGCGGAAAAGATAATTATTAAATTTATCTAAAAAAAAGAAAAAGAAAAGAATTTGACCATACTGACTCTAAGACAATATTGGGGTTTGATTTACTTGAAATTTGATATTGGCACACTGATACTTAATGAGTCAAGTCAAAATATTCAAGAAACATAGTTATATTTAGTATAATTGATAATTTACTAAACTAAATACATATTTTATAATATGGTTGATAGTGACACCACACTAATACTTTTACCATAGGTTATATGAATTGACCGAATAATGTAGAAAAATGGTCAATTGGTTGAACACCGTGTAAGATATGAAAGATTAAGACTTAAAGAGATGTCAATTCAATAATATGAGGTTAAGAATTTAAATAATAAAAAAAGAAAAAGAAAATTAAAGCCCCATTAAGTAAATAACAAAAAGTAAGATGCCAATTATAAAAATAATCCCAAAAACGAAACAAGAAATTCTCAGTTGCGTAAAGCAATAAGGGATAAAATCATATGAATGATAATGGAAAGAATATATTTTGAGTAAAGTTGCCGTTAAAATAATAATAATAAACCGATTATGATTCGGTACATCACGGACCACAGTAACTCTATTGTCAATCTCGCTCCACTCGTTGACTACTACAACAGTTGAAATTGCGTGCGTAGTGTCAAATCACACGGTTACGATTCAACGTAGGAGGTTATAATCATACATCATGCGTCTCACGAGTGTCTTCTTAATTCTAATTAAGTCAATAATTAAATCTCTTATTACAATTAACGCTTAAGACAACAAACAACATCAACAACATTTGTCTCTTGAATTAAAAAATAAAAATAAAAATAATATTCACACAGACAAAAACACACACTCTCTCTCTCTAAAAAGTTTCCATCACTCTCTCTCTCTGCATTTCTTCTACTTTGGTGTTTGGTCTGAGCCTTTTCAGTTTCTATTCGTTGTGGAAACTGGGG